TTTCAAGCACAGATTCAACCACAAAGACCAGCGAGGTTTTTCAATGCCTCTCAAAGAAGGGCACCTATTAGAATATCCCTTTGAGCATGGTGAAGTTATTAATTAGACTTAGATACAGGCGTCCTTCCTAACTCAGTTGCCGGAGAGGAAGGAAACTGCTCAGGCATTTCACCATGAGCCAATGGTGATTTTAAAACAGTTACAGAGTTTAATGGCTGTGACATGAGAATGGATCAACAACATTGTAGTTACTCCACAATACTAACCTAAATGAAAGAGTGAAAAGAAGGAAGCTTGTACAGAATAAAAAATATTATAAAACATGCATCCTGTTTGCAAGACGGCACTTAAGTAATACTGCAAAAAAATTAGCAAAGAAATTAACTTTTTGCCCTGAATACAAATTGTTATGTTTGGGGCAAATCAAATATAACACATCACTGAGTACAACTCTTCTTATTGTCAAGCATGGTGGTGGCTGCATCATGTTATGGGTATGCTTGTCATCGGCAAGGACTAGGGAGTCTTTTGGGGATAAAAATAAACATAATACAGCTATAAGCCCAGGCAAAATCCTAGATGAAAATCTGTTTCAGTTTGCATTTCCAACAGACACTGGGAGACTAATTCATCTTTCAGCAGGACAATAACCTAAAACACCAGGCCAAATCTACACTGGAGTTGCTTACCAATATGACATTGAATGTTCCTGACCTAGTTACAGTTCTGACTTAAATCGGCTTGAAAATCTATGGCAAGACTTGAAAATGGCTGTCTAACAATGATCAACAATCAACTTGACAGAGCTTGAAGAATTTTGCAAAGAATAAATGGCCAAATATTGTACAATCCAGGTGTGCAAAGCTCTTACTGACTTACCCAAAAAGACTCACAGCTGTAATCGCCGCCAAAGGTGCTTCTACAAAGTATTGACTCAGGGATGTGAATACTTATGTAAATGAGATATTTCATTTTCAATAAATTTGCTAAAATTTCAAAAAACATGTTTTCACTTTGTCGTTATGGGTATTGTGTGTAGATGGGTGAAACAATTTATATTGAATCCATTTTGAATTCAGGCTGTAACACAACAAAATGTGGAATAAGTCAAGGGGTATGAATACTTTCTGAAGGCTCTGTATATACTGTAGTCTACCTAGGTCTCTAGGACATCTAGGACATCAATGCATGATTTACGCAGAAGCCAGACTGAACACATGCATTTTAAGCATGCTTAAGGATTGACACAACTTGCAAACTCTTTCATGCACAGAAATTACTTTATCGCACTCTCTCACTCTCACTCTCCCTCTTTCCCTACCCCACTCTCTCTCTTTCTTTTTCTCTCTATTTCTCTCTCTCTCTCTAACCCTTCCCCTCTCTCTCTTGCTCTCTCTCTCTCTGCTAACATCCATAGTCATGAAAACCCTCTGAAACAAAGTGTTCCCTCTTTTACTTGTTATGACATCATTTTTCAATTGGTATTTGGCACAATGTGGGTCTTGTGCTTTTTGGGTTAGCTCTGGGTAGCAATACCAGATAAAAAATGAAAACGTTTTTTGAGGATGACTTGGATTTGTTTATTTATTTAGCTCTTATGTGTCTAGGTAAATTCACTGAGAACACATTATAATTTATAGCAAAGACCTTGGGAAATTTGTCGGAGAGAGGGTTTGAATGTGGTCTGTGACAAAGAATGGCTATGGTTTCAGTCTGGAATACCGTGTGCAAGTGACGCGTTCCTACGTCATACTTCCGTGTTCATGTCCCTGGTCTTTTGAATGGGCTTGAGGATTATATAATCAAATTCAAGAAAACGCGGTCATATAAGATACAGTGCATTAGGAAAGTACTCAGACCCCTTGGCTTTTTCCACATTTTGTTACGTTACAGCCTTATTCTAAAATGGATTACATAGTTTTTCCCCCTCATCAATCTACACACAATACCCCATAATGACAAAGCGAAAACAGGTTTTTAGACATTTTTGCTAAATAAATAAATATATAAATACCTTATTTACATAAGTATTCAGACCCTTTGCTATGAGACTTGAAATTGAGCTCAGGTGCATCCTGTTTCCATTGATCATCCTTGAGATGTTTCTACAACTTGAAGTTGGAGTCCACCTGTGGTAAATTCAATTGATTGGACATGATTTGGAAAGGCACACACCTGTCTATATAAGGTCCCACAGTTGACAGTGCATGTCAGAGCAAAAACCAAGCCATGAGGTCGAAGGGATTGTCCGTAGAGCTCTGAGACAGGATTGTGTCGAGGCACAGATCTGGGGAAGGGTACCAAAAAATGTCTGCAGCATTGAAGGTCCCCAAGAACACAGTGGCCTCCATCATTCGTAAATGGAAGAAGTTTGGAACCACCAAGACTCTACCTAGAGCTGGCCGCCCAGCCCAACTGAGCAATCGGGGGAGAAGGGCCATGGTCAGGGAGGTGACCAAGAACCCAATGGTCACTCTGACAGAGCTCCAGAGATCCTTCCAGAAGGACAACAATCTCTGCAGCACTCCACCAATCAGGCCGTTATGGTAGCGTGGCCAGACGGAAGCCACTCCTCAGTAAAAGGCACATGACAGCTCGCTTGGAGTTTGCCAAAAGGCACCTAAAGGACTCTTAGACCATAAGAAACAAGATTATCTGGTCTGATGAAACCAAGATTGAACTCTTTGGCCTGAATACTAAGCGTCACGTCTGGAGGAAACCTGGCACCATCCCTACGGTGAAGCATGGTGGTGGCAGAATCATGCTGTCGGGATGTTTTTCAGCGGCAGGAACTGGGAGACTAGTCAGGATCGAGGGAAAGATGAACGGAGCAAAGGGCAGAGTGATCCTTGATGAAAACCTGCTCCAGAGCGCTTAGGGCCTCAGATTGGGGCGAAGGTTCACCTTCCAACAATCCTTGAATGCCCAGCCAGAGCACGGACTTGAACCCGATCGAACATCTCTGGAGAGACCTGAAAATAGCTGCAGTGACGCTCCCCATCCAACCTGACAGAGCTTGAGAGGATCTGCAGAGAAGAATGGGAGAAACTCCCCAAATGCAGGTGTGCCAAGCTTGTAGCTTGGCACACCAAGAAGACTCGATGCTGTAATCACTGCCAAAGGTGCTTCAACAAAGTACTGATTAATGTTCTGAATACTAATATAAATGTGATATTTCCGTTTTTTATTTTTAATAAATATGAAGAACAAAAATGTTTTTGCTTTGTCATTATGGGTGTAGATTGATGAGGGGAAAAAACAATTTTAGGCTGTAACGTAACAAAATGTGGTTAAAAGTTAATTTTTGGATTTTCTTTCCTTCTTAATGCGTTTGAGCCAATCAGTTGTGTTGTGACAAGGTAGGGGGGTTTACAGAAGATAGCCCTATTTGGTAAAATACCAAGTCCATATTATGGCAAGAACAGCTCAAATAAGCAAAGAGAAACGACAGTCCATCATTACTTTAAGACATGAAGGTCAGTCAGTACGGAAAGTTTAAAGAGCTTTGAAAGTTTCTTAAAGTCCAGTCGCAAAAACCATCAAGCGCTATGATGAAACTGGCTCTCATGAGGACCGCCACAGGAATGGAAGACCCAGAGTTACCTCTGCTGCAGAGGATAAGTTCATTAGAGTTACCAGCCTCAGAAATTGCAGCCCAAATAAATGCTTCACAGAGTTCAAGTAACAGACACATCTCAACATCAACTGTTCAGAGGAGACTGTGTGAATCAGGCCTTCATGGTCGAATTGCTGCAAAGAAACCACTACTAAAGGACACCAATAAGAAGAAGAGACTTGCTTGGGCCAAGAAACACAAGCAATGGACATTAGAGCGGTGGAAATGTGTCCTTTGGTCTGGAGTCCAAATTGGAGATTTTTGGTTCCAACCTCCGTGTCTTTGTGAGACGCGGTGTGGGTGAACGGATGATCTCTGCATGTATTTTTCCCACCATAAAGCAGGGAGGAGGAGGTGTTATGGTATGGGGGTGCTTTGCTGGTGACACTGTCTGTGATTGATTTAGAATTCAAGGCACACTTAACCAGCATGGCTACCACAGCATTCTGCAGCAATACGCCATCCCATCTGGTTTGGGCTTAGTGGGACTGTCATTTGTTTTTCAATAGGACAATGACCCAACACACCTCCAGGCTGTGTAAGGGCTATTTGACCAAGAAGGAGAGTGATGGAGTGCTGCGTCAGATGACCTGGCCTCCACAATCCCCCGATCTCAACCAAATTGAGATGGTTTGGGATGAGTCGGACCGCGGAGTGAAGGAAAAGCGTTCAACAAGTGCTCAGCATATGTGGGAACTTCTTCAAGACTGTTGGAAAAAAATTCCAGGTGAAGCTGGTTGAGAGAATGCCAAGTGTGTGCAAAGCTGTCATCAAGGCAAAGGGTGGCTACTTTGAAGAATCTCAAATCTCAAATATATTTGATTTGTTTAACACTTTTTTGGTTACTTCATGATTCCATATGTGTTATTTCTTAGTTTTGATGTCTTCACTATTATTCTACAATGTAGAAAATAGTAAAATTAAAGAAAAACCCTTGAATGAGTAGGTGTTCTAAAACATTTGACCGGTAGTCTATATCAATAAATTATATCAAATGCCTTTCATTAAGTTTTTGCGCAGAAGATCGTTGCACTATGTTTTTTCCCGTTGAAGTCCATTCAAAAGCCTACAAAAGTTCAAAAACTACAAGGCTACTTGCCGCGTCAATTGCGTAGCGTATTCAGTGAAACAGAAAGCTAGAGACAAAAAAATGTAAGCCCTCCATTTACAATCTACGTTTTAAAAACCTTTATTAAGTTTCCTTGTCCTTTTTCTGCCTTCTTTGACATGTTCTGTGTTCATTCAGGTTGTGTGTTGTAGTCTGTATTCAATATTGGAGCTCTCTGTGGCCTGAATCATTTTGTGTCTGTGTAGCTTTCCTGTGTCTGACCCCTGTCCACTGACCCCTAACCCCTGACATCTCATGTGTTGTCCATCTCTCAGTGAACACAGGGAGCACTCTGAAAAGAAGCACAGAGACAAAGAGAAGGAAAAGGAGAGGTTGAAGCACAGCGACGGGAGTGTCGACAGGCACAGGGAGAAACAGAAGGAGGAGGAGAGGTTGAAGCACAGCGACGGGAGTGTCGACAGGCACAGGGAGAAACAGAAGGAGGAGGAGAGGTTGAAGCACAGCGACGGGAGTGTCGACAGGCACAGGGAGAAACAGAAGGAGGAGGAGAGGTTGAAGCACAGCGACGGGAGTGTCGACAGGCACAGGGAGAAACAGAAGGAGGAGGAGAGGTTGAAGCACAGCGACGGGAGTGTCGACAGGCACAGGGAGAAACAGAAGGAGAAAGACAAAGAGAAGAGAAGAGAGGAAAAGGTTTGTTTTCTTCTTATAGAGCAGGGGTATTCAACTCTTAGCCTATCAGGTCCGGAGCCAGCTGGTTTTCTGCGCTACGTGATAATTAATTGCACCCACCTGGTGTCCCAGGTCTAAATAAGTCAGTGATTAGAGGGGAACAATGAAAAATGCAGTGGAACTGGCTTCGAGGTCCACAGTTGAGTTTGAGGGGTATAGAGGGTCTATCAGAAAAGGTAGATCTCAGATGTCACAGTGACTGTACTAGTACACTACAATTCCCAGCCAGTTTCTCTGACATTGATTGCCCCCCTCTGTTTCTCGCAGGTCAAATCCTCCCATGTTGAAGGAAAGCCCAAGAAGGAGAAAGAAAACGGTCATGCAAGGTAAATGGGAATATAGAATTGACTGTTTTATTTTCTTTTTAATTGTAACTACAGGTAGTAGTGTAAACAACTGTGGGTGTAGAAGGCAGATACTGTACATTTTAAGAATATCTACAGATTGTACCTTTAACACTGTAATGTGTCCTACAGGGAGATGTGGAGCAGCCCCAGCCCCAGCCCTCCTGCCATTAAGAGTGAACCAGAGGAGGACAACGGCTTGTACCCCTCTCCCAAACACAACAAGACTCTGAAGAGAGAGAGAGATGAGGAGGAGTGAGTAACCACAACATTCTTCTTATTATGTCTTGGTGCAGTATGCTCAGATATTAATAGTATGTACGCTGCATATAAATAGTTAATTAATGCCTTTTTTTAATGAAAGTGATCAAATTAAACCTAGACACACTTTTTTTTTTACATGCTTCATCTGATGGATGTATTTTGTTCAGATTTGAATACAAGCCCAAAAAGATGAAGACAGAGAATGGCAAGAAGGCAAAGAAGAGAAAACAGGAATATGAAGACGAGGAGGAGGAAGAGGTGAGTTGAGGTTCTCAGCTGAGGTTGGACACTCTCTTTCCTCACCCTTGTTCACACTCGTTTTGTCTCATTCAGGAAATAAAACCCAAGAAGAAGGCGAAAGACAAGAAAGCCAAGAAGGAACCAGAGGAGAAGTGGAAATGGTGAGATGTTTGGGAGGATTGGTTGATTCCTACAGATACAATCACTAAATGGTTGTGGGTACTGTAAAAAACTAAACAACTACTGTCCTTCTACTGTTTATTTGTTATTTCTCTCATACACATTTTGTCATCCATCTTGTTCTGGGTTTTAGGTGGGAGGAGGAGAGATCTACTGACGGCTCCAAATGGAAGTTTCTGGAACACAAGGGACCTGTTCTTGCTCCTCCATACGAACCCCTACCCGGCCATGTCAGGTTTTTCTACGATGGTGAGTGAGTCCATGTAGATTCACACTTTATGTTTAGGTGGTTAGATTATATTTCTGATATGATGATACCACCAAGTCTCTCTGAAAAACAAGTCATACTGTATGTGATCAATCTTTCTATGTACTTCTCCATCTCTCTCCCCCCACCTCTCCCTGCTAGGTAAGCCCCTGAGACTAAGTGCCCCTGCAGAGGAGGTGGCTACGTTCTTTGCTAAGATGCTGGACCATGAGTACACAACCAAGGACATGTTTAGAAAGAACTTCTACAAGGACTGGAGAAAGGTAGGTACATGGCTGCTCTGTTTCATCTAGTAGAATGATCAGACAGGTGTTAGTTAAGCGATGCCCCATGGATTACTGTGTTATACTCCATTGCACCTACCATTGGCCAAGCATTTTCACATTTGAAATCTGACTTTCTGGTACAGCAGAAGACACTTTCTGATCTTAAGTTGGTGCTAAATACTAACAAAACAAAAGATATGCTCTTCTCTAGGCTACATCATTTAAATCTAAATTACTATAAAATTACTAGTCTAAATGGTATAGAAGTTGAACTAGTTCCTTATTATAAATATATTGATATATGGCTAGATGACAAGTTGTCTTTCAAAACACATATATCAGCTGGTAAGAAAGTTGAAGTTTAAGATTGGTTTATTTTACAGAAACAAAGCCTGTTTATCATCTGTTAATAGAAAGGAAATGGTTCAGGCTACCTTTATGTCTGTATTGGATTATGGGGATGTTATTTCCATGCGTGCTGCAGCGTCCACACGTAAACCCTTGGATGCTGTATATCATTGTGCCCTGAGGTTCATTACTGGATGTGTTCCTGATATCTAGAAGTCGGTTGGGCCTCTTTAAGCACCAGAAGAGAGCAGCATGTTATGTTATTTATCTATAAAGCGTTAATACAAAAACTTCCAATGTATCTGACATCTTTCATTTCTTATAAAATTACTAATTATAAAACTAGTTCAATGAATTACATTACACTTCAGATGCCCCCAGGTTCTACACAGATTGGAAAATGCTCCTTCAGTTATGCTGCACCTTACATGTGGAACAATTGACAAACATTCTTAGAATGGATGTTCTAGTGCCTCTTAGACAATTCAAAAAATTGATTTCTGATCTTTTAAATGTTAATTGTGATTGTTTTTCTTAATGTGTATATGTCTTGTGTATTTGTGCATATGTGTTTTTTCTTTGTATTGAAAACAGGACTCAACTGCAAATGAGACCTTGGTCTCAGTTGATCCCCTGTATAAATACAATTATAAAAAAGAATTTTAAAAATATACATAAACCTCCATTCTGTCCTTTAACCCCAGGAAATGACATCGGAGGAGAAGTCAAAGATCACAGATATAAATAAGTGTAACTTCACAGAGATGAGCGAGTACTTCAAGGCCCAATCAGAGGCCCGGAAACAGATGTCCAAAGACGAGAAACTGGTGAGGCCCTGAACCAACACGCACACACACACACACACACACACACACACACACACACACACACACGCACACACACACACACACACACACATATACAACTCACACACCCTCCAACATTCTCTAATGTTATTCCAACGTTTTCCAGAAAATCAAAGAGGAGAATGAGCGTATCCTCCAGGAGTATGGCTTCTGTGTGATGGACAACCATAAGGAGCGAATTGGAAACTTCCGCATCGAGCCTCCCGGTCTGTTCAGGGGGCGTGGGGACCACCCAAAGATGGGCATGCTGAAACGCCGCATCCGCCCTGAAGACATCATTATCAACTGCAGCAAGTGAGTCTCCCCATCTTTATCAGCATCATCACCATTGTCATAGTTGGAAAGAGGGTGATGAATGATCATTGCGAGGGATTGGTGGTAGAAAGAACGAGGGATAAATGATGAAAAGGATGGATAAAGGGATCACCAAGTTGATGATAAGTGTGTAGTCTTGTGTTCCTACCACAAGGGGTCCCTGTACACCACTATATATTTGAGTGGTAAGCTATTGTTCCTGACATCACACAATGTTTTTTCTACAGTGACAGGAGTTCTTATTGTGTGTGTGTGTTTTTATGTGAAAGACTCCTCCACCCCTCTGCCCCATTGTTATGTTCCACTGTTCTCTCCCTTATCCCTCCCTCCTCTCCCTACTGTATTTCTGTCCCTCTCCTCCCTTCTCCCTCCCTCATCTGAATGTCTGTCCCTCTCCCCTCTCTCCCCCGTTCTCCCTCCTGCCTCTGTATGTCCCTCCCACCCTCCCTCCCTCTGTAATTCTTATCTCCCTCTCCATCTCCTCCATCTCTGCCTTGTTGTGATTGCTGCAGCTATTTTTATCCAAGGGAAAAAGTATCTTTGCTTGCTGTCCTGCCCTGTTCTGTCCTGGCTCTGTCCTGTCCTGTCCTGGCTCTTCTGGTTTGCGTGCATGGTTTGTGTTTGTGTGTGTGATGGTCCTAAACATGCCATATGGTTGTTTACGTGTGTGTCCGTCTGTGTCAAAGGTCATCTTCCTGTCTGTGTATCTCCAGGCTCAGTTGTGTGTGTGTGCGTGCGTTCGTGTGTGCATGTGTGTGTGTGTGCATGCGCACGCATGTGTGTGTGTCGCCTCGGACCCAGTCCGGTGGTGGAAACAATAAAAGGCCAAGCTGACCATCTACCTGCTCAGCTTGGCTTTGTTTTGTTGTGTTTTTCACCCCGGTCCTGTAATAGTTGTACACGGGAGAGGAAATGTCAAAACAGGATCAGCTTTCCTCACCCAATGCCTTTAGAACACGATTGAAGACGTCAGTATGCCATCCCATCCTATGCATTATGAGAGATCTGAAGGCCTCAAGCCTAAAGGATTTGGGGTGAACCCACGTGAACTAGGCCTTTCCCTAGACTAGCTAAAAAAAACATCTCTCTGCCCCTCTTCCCCAAGTTATGTCTCACTCAGTCTGTTTGATCCAAGGTATTGCTTTATTCTTCTTCTAACCTTCTCTCTGCCCCTCTCCTCTTCTTCTCAGAGATTCCAAGCACCCCAAGCCGCCCCAGGGCACGCGCTGGAAGGAGGTTCGTCATGACAACAAGGTCACATGGCTGGTGTCGTGGACTGAGAACATCCAGGGTTCTATCAAGTACATCATGCTCAACCCCAGCTCCAGAATCAAGGTAATGACAACCTTAAACCTTCTCACTCCTAACCCTAACAAGTACATTTACTTCTGCTCCAGAATCAAGGTAACTCTAAGATCTCACACCTAACCCCTAACCATGACCCTCTCACCCTAACCTCAACTAAAGGAGGTTACAAAAGGAGTCCCTCACACCCTTATCCTTACCCTATCACTCTAATCTGATCTAACCTGTCTGTCTGTCTCTGTTCCGTGTCTGCCTGTGTGTAGGGCGAGAAGGACTGGCAGAAGTATGAGACGGCCCGGAGGCTGAAGAAGTGTGTGGACCGCCTGAGGGCGCAGTACAGAGAGGACTGGAAGTCTAAAGAGATGAGGATCAGACAGAGAGCTGTGGCTCTCTACTTCATAGACAAGGTGATGGGAAATACATGCTACATCTATTATATGTGTGTGACTGGATAGGTGAGAGCAAGGTTACTGCCCTTTTTCTTTCACCTCTCCAAGCCTTTTCGATTGGGGTTGGATACCTAAATACTTGAGGATACTCAAACACAACCTCTGCCCTCCATCCTGTTTGTCCCATAGCTGGCCCTGAGGGCAGGGAATGAGAAGGAGGAGGGGGAGACGGCTGATACAGTTGGCTGCTGCTCCCTGAGGGTGGAACACATCAAGCTGTACCCCAAGATGGACGACCAGGAGTATGTGGTGGAGTTTGACTTCCTGGGAAAAGACTCCATCAGATACTACAACAAGATGCCTGTGGAGAAGAGGGTGAGGAAGGGGAGGAGTGGAGGGAAAAGGGGGGGGGGGAGTGTGAAAGGAGAGGAGAGGGGGAGTGTTGACGAGGGAAGAGTAAGTGGTGGAGAGGGGGAAGAGTGGAGGAGAAGCGGGACTGGGATGAAGGGGAGGGCAGAAGAGATTGAGAAGAGGGGGAGGAGTGGAGGAGAGAGGGGACAGATGGAGAAGAGAGGAGGGGGAGGACAGAAGATATTGAGAAGAGGTGGAGGAGAGGGGACAGATGGAGAAGAGAGGAGGGGGAGGGCAGAAGATATTGAGAAGAGGGGGAGGAGTGGAGGAGAGAGGAGGAAGGAGGGAAGAAGATATTGATTTAAGAATTGAAGGGATGTTTAAGATTTCATAGTTTCCATTTGATGGGATGGTCTAGTCAGTGTTGTGCGAGCGTTTAACAGATGTCTGGAACATGTGTTACTCATGTTTTATTGGGTCTACCTTTGTGCACACACCTGTCTGTGTGTGTGTGTGTTTGGACACACACTGCTCGGAGGATGTTTGTACAGACAGGTGATCCAGGCCCTAAAGTGCTTTCTGTCAGCTCTGCCTCTGGGGGAGGTCTGTTTCCTGGCATACACATTACACACACATTACACACACACACACACACACACAACCTGCTCAATGACGGCACCCTCATCTGGCAAGAATCAGACATTACAACTAAGAGAATAACTAGATCACCAGCTTGTTCACGGTTATTTATCAAAACCTCAAAGTCAAATGTACTAGAATACTGGTGTATTCAATAAGGAATAAGACATGTCAAGACTCCATCTTAAATGAACCTGTGTATTCTTTCTCAGGTGTTTAAGAACCTGCAGCTGTTCCTAGAGAATAAGCAGCCTGAGGACGACCTCTTCGACAGACTCAATGTAAGAGAGACAACATATGGTCTTAATACTGGGTGAATGAAGGAACTGAGAACTAATAGTAAATTATAAACTGGGTGGTTCGAGCCCTGAATGCAGATTGGCTGACAGCCGTGGTAATCAGACCATATACCACGGGTATGACAAAACATGTATTTTTACTGCTCTAATTACGTTGGTAACCAGTTTATAATAGCAATAAGGCACTTCGGGGGTTTGTGATATATGGCCAATATACCATTTACATTTTAGTCATTTAGCAGACAGACGCTCTTATCCAGAGCGACTTACAGTTAGTGAGTGCATACATTTTCATACTGGTCCCCCGTGGGAAATGAACCCACAACCCTGGCGTTGCAAGCGCCATGCTCTACCAACTGAGCTACAGGGGACTATACCATGGCTAAGGGCTGTATCCATGCACTCCGTATTGCGTCGTGCATAAGAACAGCCCTTAGCTGTGGTATATTGGCCATATACCACACCCCCCTTACATCACTGTCTCAATTGTGCTCTCTCTCTCTTCCCTAAACTCACCTACCTCTTTCTCTCTCCCCATCTCCTCTAAACTCACCTACCTCTCCCTCATCTCCCCTACCTCCCCCATCTCCCCTAAACTCACCTCCCTCTCTCCCCCATCTCCTCTAAACTCACCTCCCTCTCCCTCTCTCCCTATCTCCCCTAAACTCACCTCCCTCTCTCTACCATCTCCTCTAAACTCACCTACCTCTCCCTCTCTCCCCATCTCCCCTACCTCTCCCCCATCTCCCCTAAACTCACCTACCTCTCCCTCTCTCTCCCTCATCTCCCCTAAATCACCTCCCTCTCTCCCCCATCTCCCCTAAACTCACCTCCCTATCCCTCTCTCCCCCCATCTCCCCTAAACTCACCTCCCTCTCCCTCTCTCCCCATCTCCCCTAAACTCACCTCCCTCTCTCCCCATCTCCCCTAAACTCACCTACCTATCCCTCTCTCCCCATCTCCCCTAAACTCACCTCCCTCTCCCTCTCTCCCCATCTCCCCTAAACTCACCTCCCTCTCCCCCTCTCTCCCTCATCTCCTCTAAACTCACCTCCTCGGCCCCCTCCACCTAAACTCACCTACCTCGACCGCCCTCAACCACCCCCTCTCCCTCTCCACTCCCCACCACTAAACGAACCCCCCCCCCTATCCCCTCCCCCTCAGCTCCCCCTCACCTCCCCTCTCCCCCCTCCCCTCATCTCCCCACTCCCTCCCTCCCCCTCTCCCAAGCAACTCCCCTCCCTTCCCCTCTCCCAAACTCACCTACTCCCTCATCCCCCCAACTCACCTCCCTAGCTCCCTCATCCCCTCAACCCCCCTCCCCTCTCTCTCCCTCATCTCCCCTAAACTCACCTCCCTCTCCCCCTCTCTCCCTCATCTCCCCTAAACTCACCTCCCTCTCCCTCTCCCCCTGCCTTTATATCTTCCTTCTCTTCCTCATCTTCCTCCTCTTCTCCAGACTTCTATTCTGAATAAGCACCTCCAGGAGTTGATGGATGGGCTGACAGCCAAAGTGTTCCGTACGTACAATGCCTCCATCACCCTGCAGCAGCAGCTCAAAGAGCTCACCAGCCGTGAGTGACAGCACGCACACAGCCAATCACACACACAGCTCCCATGAGTGACAGGTCCACTAGCCAATAGTGGATGAAGTTGTCTGCTCAATGTTTGCTTCTACTAACCTGATGTCGGTGCAAATGTTATTGTTGCTGTATCACTAGCTTTAATAAAGATCACATTGGCAGCAGCAATCAGTGAGCAAATATTTGGTTAAACTTCATGTTACGGTAGCCTACACAATTGACCAGATATTTCCTTGAAAAGCGCATGGTAAACACTGTATCTGTGTCTATCTCCAGCGGACGAGAGCATTCCTGCTAAGATCCTGTCCTACAACAGAGCCAACCGGGCGGTGGCTATACTGTGCAACCACCAGAGGGCTCCACCCAAGACCTTTGAGAAGTCCATGCAGAACCTGCAAACCAAGGTAACAATAGAATAGAATAAGTCTCTATTGTCCACTTGCACTGAAATGTATATTTTTGCTGTAACAGTATCCACATAGTATACACGGTAATGACCAATTGTGTGTGTGTGTGTGTGTTTAATGCTCTCAGATAGATGAGAAGCAGAAGCAGCTGTCGACCACCAGGAAACAGCTGAAGGGGGCCAAGACAGAGCACAAGGCTTCACATGATGACCGGAGCAAAAAGTGAGTACAGCTCTACTGAAGCTACACCAAACTAGGGCCCCATGCCAAGTCAACCCCTAGCTAGCCCCTTCCCCTACGTACTTTGTGCTGCATACAAATGACAATAGATTCACCGTGCCGGCAGATGAGTGGATGTTTCTACTCATTTCTTACCCCAATCCGATTTGGTAGAACTAGTGATCGATCAATCAACTAATCAATGAATTGTGTGGTGTCCTCAGGATGGTGGAGGTGAAGAGGAAGGCGGTCCAGAGGATAGAGGAACAGCTGATGAAGTTACAGATGCAGGCCACAGACAGAGAGGAGAACAAGCAGATCGCCCTGGGAACCTCCAAACTCAACTACCTGGACCCACGCATCTCTGTGGCATGGTAACAAACAGACAGGGGGGGGAATGATCACATCTCTGTGGCATGGTAACAGACAGACAGGGAGGGGAATGATCACATCTCTGTGGCATGGTAACAGACAGACAGGGAGGGGAATGATCACATCTCTGTGGCATGGTAACAGACAGACAGGGAGGGGAATGATCACATCTCTGTGGCATGGTAACAGACAGACAGGGAGGGGAATGATCACATCTCTGTGGCATGGTAACAGACAGACAGGGAGGGGAATGATCACATCTCTGTGGCATGGTAACAGACAGACAGGGAGGGGAATGATCACATCTCTGTGGCATGGTAACAGACAGGGAGGGAGGGGAATGATCACATCTCTGTGGCATGGTAACTGACAGACAGGTAGGGGAATGATCACATCTCTGTGGCATGGTAACAGACAGACAGGGAGGGGAATGATCACATCTCTGTGGCATGGTAACAGACAGACAGAGAGGGGAAATATCACATCTCTGTGGCATGGTAACAGACAGACAGGGAGGGGAATGATCACATCTCTGTGGCATGGTAACAGACAGACAGGGAGGGGAAATATCACATCTCTGTGGCATGGTAACAGACAGACAGAGAGGGGAAATATCACATCTCTGTGGCATGGTAACAGACAGACAGGGAGGGGAAATATCACATCTCTGTGGCATGGTAACAGACAGACAGGGAGGGGAAATATCACATCACTGTGGCATGGTAACAGACAGACAGGGAGGGCAAATATCACATATCTGTGGCATGGTAACAGACAGACAGGGAGGGGAAATATCACATATCTGTGGCATGGTAACAGACAGACAGGGAGGGGAAATATCACATCTCTGTGGCATGGTAACAGACAGACAGGGAGGGGAATGATCACATCTCTGTGGCATGGTAACAGACAGACAGAGAGGGGAAATATCACATTTCTGTGGCATGGTAACAGACAGACAGGGAGGGGAAATATCACATCTCTGTGGCATGGTAACAGACAGACAGGGAGGGGAATGATCACATATCTGTGGCATGGTGACAGACAGACAGGGAGGGGAATGATCACATCTCTGTGGCATGGTAACAGACAGACAGGGAGGGGAATGATCACATCTCTGTGGCATGGTAACAGACAGACAGGGAGGGGAATGATCACATCTCTGTGGCATGGTAACTGACAGACAGGTAGGGGAATGATCACATCTCTGTGGCATGGTAACAGACAGACAGGGAGGGGAATGATCACATCTCTGTGGCATGGTAACAGACAGACAGAGAGGGGAAATATCACATCTCTGTGGCATGGTAACAGACAGACAGGGAGGGGAATGATCACATCTCTGTGGCATGGTAACAGACAGACAGGGAGGGGAATGATCACATCTCTGTGGCATGGTATCAGACAGACAGAGAGGGGAAATATCACATCTCTGTGGCATGGTAACAGACAGACAGGGAGGGGAAATATCACATCTCTGTGGCATGGTAACAGACAGACAGGGAGGGGAAATATCACATCTCTGTGGCATGGTAACAGACAGACAGGGAGGGGAAATAACAGACAGAGATGGGGAAATATCACATCTCTGTGGCATGGTAACAGACAGACAGGGAGGGGAATGATCACATCTCTGTGGCATGGTAACAGACAGACAGAGAGGGGAAATATCACATTTCTGTGGCATGGTAACAGACAGACAGGGATGGGAAATATCACATCTCTGTGGCATGGTAACAGACAGACAGAGAGGGGAAATATCACATCTCTGTGTCATGGTAACATACAGACAGAGAGGGGAAATATCACATCTCTGTGGCATGGTAACAGACAGACAGGGAGGGGAATGATCACATCTCTGTGGCATGGTAACAGACAGACAGGGAGGGGAAATATCACATCTCTGTGGCATGGTAACAGACAGACAGGGAGGGGAATGATCACATCTCTGTGGCATGGTAACAGACAGACAGGGAGGGGAATGATCACATTACATAAAGTGGATTACATTTTACTTCACAAGTTGCACAGATACCATGTAGTTAATTTCTCTTGTAATTACACGATAAGTAAGTAACTAATGTCTGTGCCAGGTACAACTGAGGAATATATTTGTTATTAAAGTAGTTACATAGTAATGTAAGCCTGACATAAGGGTAACTACATGTAATGTTTTCATAGGTGGGGGTGGATGTGTGTCTTGGGTGGGTGGGTGGGGGTAGTGGTGGGGTCACTAGTGCTCGCCAATGGTGACAGAAGGCAGGAAATGCTTGTGCATTGTGGGAAAGCAGCAGCGACGGCAGCAGCAGCTGAAAAAAGCAGAGTGAAGAAGAGAAAGAAAGGGTGAGAAGGAAAAGTGTGTGAGCATGAAGAACAATAGGGTTTGTTTGTAGGGCCAGAGAGCGTCCCCTCACTCCACGTGTAGAGGCAATGTGACGGGCCACCTGGGACAAATAGCCAGTCGTGTGAAAAGTACTCAATCGTCATACTTGAGTAAAAGTAAAGATATCTTAATAGAAAATGACTCAAGTAAATGTGAATGTCACCTAGTAAAATAATAGTTGAGTAAAAGTCTAAAAGTATCAGGTTTTAAATGTACTTAAGTACAGTGGTGGAAAAAGTACTCAACATGTTTGTTTTTTACGGAGAGACAGGGGAACACTCCAACACTCAGACATCATTTACAAACGCAGTAGGGATGATTGATAGGTGTGTGAATTGGACCATAATTCTGTCCTGCCTGAGCATTTGAAAGGTAACGAGTACTTTTTGGTGTCAGGGAAAATGTATGGAGTAAAAAGTAAATATTTTCTTTAGAAATGTTGTTTCTTTATGAATGAGTAAAAGTAAAAGTTGACAAATATATAAATAGTAAAATAAAGTACAGATTCCCCAAAAAACTACTTAAGTAGTACTTTAAAGTATTTTACACCACTCCAAATAGCTTACTGCTTCTGGATGAAGGAATAGGCCAAGGATAGGCCAAGGAAGAGGGCCCTCCACCAACACAACCTTTATCCACCAACACAACCTTTTATGATCAATTGAATTTTCATTTTCAATGATGAAAGGACAAAACATTAATCAAAAAGACAACTGTCTTTGTACTGTCTTTGTACTGTCTTTGTACTGTCTTTGTACTGTCTTTGTCAGAGATTGAGAGTGTGAGTACATAGACCCACCATTTTAGGGCACCAAAGGTATTGGGACAAATTCACTTACAGTGAGGGAAAAAAGTATTTGATCCCCTGCTGATTTTGTACATTTGCCCACTGACAAAGAAATGATCAGTCTATAATTTTAATGGTAGGTTTATTTGAACAGTGAGAGACAGAATAACAACAAAAAAATCCAGAAAAACGCATGTCAAAATGTTATAAATTGATTTGCATTTTAATGAGGGAAATAAGTATTTGACCCCCTCTCAATCAGAAAGATTTCTGGCTCCCAGGTGTCTTTTATACAGGTAACGAGCTGAGATTAGGAGCACACTCTTAAAGGGAGTGCTCCTAATCTCAGCTTGTTACCTATATAAAAGACACCTGTCCACAGAAGCAATCAATCAATCAGATTCCAAACTCTCCACCATGGCCAAGACCAAAGAGCTCTCCAATGATGTCAGGGACAAGATTGTAGACCTACACAAGGCTGGAATGGGCTACAAGACCATCGCCAAGCAGCTTGGTGAGAAGGTGACAACAGTTGGTGCGATTATTCGCAATTGGAAAAAACACAAAAGCACTGTCAATCTCCCTCGGCCTGGGGCTCCATGCAAGATCTCACCTCGTGGAGTTGCAATGATCATGAGAACGGTGAGGAATCAGCCCAGAACTACACAGGAGGATCTTGTCAATGATCTCAAGGCAGCTGGGACCATAGTCACCAAGAAAAAAATTGGTAACACACTACGCCGTGAAGGACTGAAATCCTGCAGCGCCCGCAAGGTCCCCCTGCTCAAGAAAGCACATATACAGGCCCGTCTGAAGTTTGCCAATGAACATCTGAATGATTCAGAGGAGAACTGGGTGAAAGTGTTGTGGTCAGATGAGACCAAAATCGAGCTCTTTGGCATCAACTCAACTCGCCGTGTTTGGAGGAGGAGGAATGCTGCCTATGACCCCAAGAACACCATCCCCGCTGTCAAAATGGAAGTGGAAACATTATGCTTTGGGGGTGTTTTTCTGCTAAGGGGACAGGACAACTTCACCGCATCAAAGGGACAATGGACGGGGCCTTGTACCGTCAAATCTTGGGTGAGAACCCCCTTCCCTCAGCCAGGGCATTGAAAATGGGTCATGGATGATTCCAGCATGACAATGAACCAAAACACACGGCCATGGCAACAAAGGAGTGGCTCAAGAAGAAGCACATTAAGGTCCTGGAGTGGCCTAGCCAGTCTCCAGACCTTAATCCCATAGAAAGTCTGTGGAGGGAGCTGAAGGTTCAAGTTGCCAAACGTCAGCCCCGAAATCTTAATGACTTGGAGAAGATCTGCAAAGAGGAGTGGAACAAAATCCCTCCTGAGATGTGTGCAAACCTGGTGGCCAACTACAAGAAACGTCTGACCTCTGTGATTGCCAACAAGGGTTTTGCCACCAAGTACTAAGTCATGTTTTGCAGAGGGGTCAAATACTTATTTCCCTCATTAAAATGCAAATCAATTTATAACATTTTTGACATGGATTTTTCTGGATTTTTTTGTTGTTATTCTGTCTCTCACTGTTCAAATAAACCTACCATTAAAATTATAGACTGATCATGTCTTTGTCAGTGGGCAAACGTACAAAATCAGCAGGGGATCAAATACTTTTTTCCCTCACTGTATATGTGTATTAAAGTAGTCAAATGTTAAGTATTTGGTCCCATATTCATAGCACACAATGACTACATCAAGATTGTGACTCTACACATTTGTTGGATACATTTGCTGTTTGTTTTGGTTGTGTTTCAGATTATTTTGTGCCCAATAAAAATGAATGGTAAATAATGTATTGTGTCATTTTGGATGCACTTCTATTGTACATAAGAATAGATTAATGTGGATGCTACCATGATTACGGGTTAATCCTGAATTAATTGTGAATAATGATGAGTGAGAACGTTACAGACGCACAAATATCATAACCTCCCCTGTTATTAACATGTCTTGGGGGTATGATATTTATGCGTCTGTAACTTTCTCACTCATCATTATTTACGATTAATTCAGGACTATCCATAATCATGGTAGGATCCACATTAAGTGTTTAGAAACATATTCTATTCTTATTTACAATAAAAGTGACTCCAAAATGACACAATACATTATTTACCATTCATTTCTGTTAGGCACAAAATAATCTGAAACACAACCAAAACAAACAGCAAATGCATCCAACAAATTTGTAGAGTCACAAGCTTGATGTAGTCATTGCGTGCTAGGATTATGGGACCAAAAACTTAACGTTTGACTACTTACTGTAAATACACATATAAGTGAATTTGTTCCAATACTTTTGATCCCCTAAACTGGGGGAACTATGGACAGAAAGTGCTGTAATTTCTAATCGGTTCACTCGATATGGATGACAATACCCTCAAATTAAAGATGACAGTCTGCACTTTAACCTCTGTAATTTCTAATAGGTTCACTCGATATGGATGACAATACCCTCAAATTAAAGCTGACAGTCTGCACTTTAACCTCTGTAATTTCTAATCGGTTCACTTGATATGGATGACAATACCCTCAAATTAAAGCTGACAGTCTGCACTTTAACCTCATAGTCATTGTATCATTTCAAATCCAAAGTGCTGGGGTACAGAGCCAAAACAACAACAAATGTGTCACTGTCCCAATACTTTTGTTTGCTTTCCCTCCTCTGCTTTTAGTGCTCTCTCCTAATGCCCTGCTCTCCTCCACTCTCCTTCTCTCCTCCTCTCTTCCTCTCCTCCTCTCCTCCTCTCTCCTCCTCTACAGGGTTAAGAAATGGGACGTTCCCATAGAGAAGATCTACAATAAAACCCAGAGGGAGAAATTTGCCTGGGCCATCGACATGGCCGAAGAAGACTATGAGTTTTAGATCCTATTCTGTAGTTTTATCCCTCTGTTGTATTCTTGTTTAATTTTAGAAGTATGTGTAGTTCATGTGATTGATTCCACATTCTTAGCGATTGACCAGGGTCCTGTTTGAAGCATGTACTGTATCCTTCCTTCCTCCCTTGAATTGAACGCAGATCTGATAGTATTGGTTAAAGCAGTATGGTAGAAACCTTGCTTACACGTATCCAATCACATGCAAATCAGTGATGAGGAATAAAGTAGTGCATTGGCCAAGTATTCAAACAGGGATCACACCCTGGGTCTTACTGCAGCGCAAAGTATAGTAGTGTGTTAGACCAAAACTAGTTGACTTGACCTTTCAACCTTATCAGCTTCTGTGATTTTCAGCTAGCTAATAGAAGTACTGTAAATGCCGGCTTTTTCTATTGATTTATGCTCCAATATCTTAGTCATCAAATGTATTGATAAATTCTATATTTTGAAATATTAATGAATTAATCAAAGAATTCCCTAAGGAGCGGCACCTTCACACCTTGTGGAAAGAGACAGAGCAGTGGTATGGTGTGTGTGTGTGTGTGTGTGTGTGTGTGTGTGTGTGTGTGTGTGTGTGTGTGTGTGTCGCAAGTGTTTAATTGTGAATGAGTGCACCATTATTAATGATTTATGAACTTTGAAATCTGTATGAAGAGTGAGGAGAAGAAAATGGGGATGATGTTTATAATGGAGGATGATGGTGATTAAGACACAACCAAGCACTATGCTCATGTAATTCTAGCACATAGAATGTGAATTTGTTTTTCATTGGTTTAATTTTGCTGTTTATTTCAGGGATGTATATATTTCTTGTCTGTTTTCAGTATGTACTTGTATGTTATTCTGTGTTTTGTAGTATGTGTATCCTTCGTGTTGTCACCAGGCCTCCCTACCTGTAGATAGATATCTTTTCACACGTTTTGCTGAATGAAAACGATTCCGCTGTATGTTACTTGAAGAAATGGCTATATAAAAATGTACTGTTTTGGTGCCTGTTTTGTGTAGATACAAATGACTGCTTGCTCTTTTAAAAAGAGAAAAATAGAAATGTGTGAGGGATATGGATTTTGCCAAAAACAAAATGAAAACAACTGTTACATAAACATCTATCATTAATTAAAGATTTTAGGGTGTTTCTTTTTTTTGTACTGCTGTAAACAATGTGGAAGAAATATGTCCTCTATGAAATGATTGTTTAATGTGAATAAGCATTAACATAACATTATTAAATTAGCATTATTACCACTAAGCACATATTTAGCATTAATGTAACTAGCCAATAGCCTTTCTTAACCCTTTAACCATCCTATTCATTTTTAGTTTGTTTGTTGTTTGCTTATTATTTTGGCTTTGTAGATAATTTGAGAATAAAACATACAACTCATCATACTACTGCTTTCCTTCCCTGAGAGATTAAAGTTCAATATTCTTATGTAATGACTAAAACATAAACTGCTGGAAGATATTTGACATGAATAAGATCAACCATTAACTACAGTACTTGTCTCGATCGAACAGACCTATTATGGCAGTGATGTACTCTACATAATATACAGCCGTTCTCAGTCTCTGGGATTATACATAGCCTAATGCATATTGTTCATCAAGTTTATATTCAAGCTTCTGAGTGACGATGAATGCAAAATACAGCACAATGTGATAGTGTATCAGAACAGACAATATATGCATGTAGAGAGAGAGAAAGAGAGGAAATGATCAGCCAGTGCTGCTTGGTGGACAAAGAGAAATGTAATCCTGTCAGATAATTAACAGTGGCCATTCAGGGTGGTGGTCGCAATACAATTCTCAGTGATCTCATGTCCTTAGGGAGAGAGCTGGGAGGTAACAGGCTTGCGTGCTGTGCTGTTGTGTGTTGTGTTGGCTCTACAGTTTCTGTCTGTGCTGTGTATTCCTGCTGTGGTGACCTGTCCTGTTTATGGGTCTATGTGTATACTCAGTTTAGAAAGAAAGGTGAAATTAAATCACAACACCACACATGACATTGTCATCTTTATGAAACTGAAACTTAGTTGCGGTACCTCCTCAGACCACATGAGGGCTCTATTTTAAAAACAGAGCAGAGGTCAAAACTCCCCACACAATAACAAATGTAGCATATTAGAATCCAGATCATGACTTGAACAAATATTTGTAAAAATGTGTCATTTTATGACTTGATAAAGATTAGACAAAGAGTGGATGTGTGAACATGTCTGTAGTTACATGTTTTGTGGTGAGTTTCAGTGCACTGTATGGTTGTCATAGGAGTGTGACTTTGGCTTTCAGCAAGCATACTAATTACTTATGTACTTGAAATGACTGTAAATGGGATGTGGTGCAGCAAGGACAATGTTAGAGAAGGGCTCTACAACCCTGTTCCTGGAGAGCTACCATCCTGTAGGTTTTCGCGCCCACCCTAATCTAGTACACCTGATTCTAATCATAAACTTGTTGATAAACTGAATCAGGTTAGTTACAACTGGGGTTGGATTGAAAACCTACAGGAGGGTATCTCTCCTGGAACAGGGTTGGAGAGCCCTGGACTAGAGTGTAAAAAATTATGCATGACTACATTGCATAAAAACACTCAGAATATGGCATAATCAGGCTTGTAGGCTACTTTTTTTCAGCAGGTTTGTGATTTTGTATGCAAATGCCTCCTAATGCTACTGGTTGACAATGTATTGCACAAGTACAGTGCCTTCAGAACGTATTCACACCCCTTGACTTATTCCACATTTTGTTGTGTTACAGCCTGAATTCAAAATGGATTAAATATATTTGTTTTTTCTCACCCATCTACACACAATAACCCATAATGACAAAGTGAAAACATGTTTTTAGACATTTTAGCAAATTAATAGAAAATGAAATGCAGAAATATCTCATTTACATAAGTATTCACACCCCTGAGTCAATACATGTTATAATCACCTTTGAGAGCTATAATAGCTGTGAGCTTTGCACACCTGGACTGTACAATATTTTCACATTATTCTTCAAGCTCTATCAAGTTGGTTGTTGATCATTGCTAGATAGCCATTTTCAAGTCTTGTCATAGATTTTCAGGCCGATTTAAGCCACTCAGGAAAATTCAATGCCATCTTGGTAAGCAACTCCAGTGTATATTTGGCCTTGTGTTTTAGGTTATTGTCCTGCTGAAAGGTGAATTTGTCTCCCAGTGTCTGTTGGAAAGCAGACTGAACCAGGTTTTCCTCTAGGATTGTGCCTGTGCTTAGCTCTATTCTGTTGATTTTTTATTTTTTTTTAACTCCCTAGTCCTTGCCGATGACAAGCATACCCATAACATGATACAGCCACCACTTGATTGAAATATATAAAGAGTGGTACTCAGTGATGTGTTGTGTTGGATTTGCAAACACAATGCTTGGTCCCCTGTAGCTCACTTGGTAGAGCATGGCGCTTGCAACGCCAGGGTTGTGGGTTTGTTTCCCACGGGGGCCAGTATGAAAAATGTATGCACTCACTAACTGTCGCTCTGGATAAGAGTGTCTGCTAAATGACTAAAAATGTCAAATGTATTCAGGACACAAAGTTCATTTCTTTGCCACATTTTTTGCAGTTTTACTTTAGTGCCTTATTGCAAACATGATGCATGTTTTGGAATATTTGTATTCTGTTCACTCTGTCATTTACGTTATTATTGTGGAGTAACTACAATGTTGTTGAGCCATCCTCAGTTTTCTCCTGTCACAGCCATTCAACTCTGTAACTGTTTTAAAGTCACCATTGGCCTCATGGTGAAATCCCATTTCCTTCCTCTCCGGCAACTGAGTTAGGAAGGACGCCTGTATGTTGAGGTGAGTAGGTGTACTTATACACCATCCAAAGTGTAATAATAACTTCACCATGCTCGATATTCAAAGTCTGCTTTTCTTTTAACCCATCTAGCAATATGTGCCCTTCTTTGCGAGGCATTGACAAACCTCCCTGGTCTTTGTGGTTGAATCTGTGTTTGAAATTCACTGCTCAACTAAGGGATCTTACATATACTTGTATGTGTGGGGTACAGAGATGAGGTCGTCATTCAAAAGTCATGTTAAACACTATTATTGCACACCGAGTGAGTCCATGCAAATTATGCGACTTGTTAAGCAAATGTTTACTCCTGAATTTATTTAGGCTTGGCATAACAAAGGGGTTGAATACTTATTGACTCAATACATATTTTATGAATTTGTAAAAATGTGTAAATACATCATTCCACTTTGATATTATGGGGTATTGTGTGTAGGCAGGCCAGTGACACAAAATCTCAATTTAATCAATTTAAAATTCAGGCTGTAACAACAAAATGTGGAAAAAGTCAAGGGGTGTGAATACTTTCTGACGGCACTTTTAGTTCTCACTGACACTGACCAAAGGCGCGCAGTAATTAGCTATGGTTAGTTAGCCTTCTTCTAGTAAACAGATAATTATGAAACAAAGTAGACTGAGGGGTGGAAAAGTAAGAGCTGTATCTTTAAGAGGCCGATCTATCTGATGCTTTGTTGTACAGACGGGTCGGATGGGGGAAGGGCCCAAACCGTGCATGAGACCGACAAAACTTGCTTATGGCTCTCTCCGTCGATGGGGAACTGTGACAGGACTCAAAAGGAAAAGGGATCTTTCTGCTCACGACTGAAGAGCACGTACACTGTTGGGACCACAATGATATAATCACGAAAAAGGGGAAGACGGGAGGACAGCCGAAGTTGGACCGGCGGAGATGAGCGGGGCCGTGATTGCGGCGATATACCGAGGTGTTGTTCTGCTATTGTTGCGCTGCTCGCGTGTTCCAGTTGGATTTTGAGACGGTAAGACGAAGGATACTAGAAAGGTGACCTAAAATAAAGGCTATGGGGATAGCTAACTGGGTTTGTCTGCGGTGAAATCAGCCATACTTCCTTGGCCGAACAACTGCCCACCACCCTCGCCTTTAGGAAAATGTAGCACGGAATTCCTTGCCTCGCAGTGTATCCGTTCTCCTTTCGCAACGAATGCTATTTTGTATTGGGTGATTTTTTTATTTATTTTTTGCTTGTTACAAAAAGAGCAGAATCGGGGCCCATGGAAATAAACTTTATGGGTAGCTTGGGAAGGAAATAAACAGATTCCATTTAGCTAGTAGGCCAGTTTCAGAGGGTTCAAATCTATCTAATCTACTTAAATGTGCCGCGGATTACAGTTAACCTGTGGATTTCCATTTATTATCTTTGTGAGAAAAGTATTCTAAAATGATGTGAATCAGCATGTATATTCCCATTCCTAGTGTGTGATCAGCTATAGCCGATTGGTGCACATCTGTCATTTTCTCAGTCCAGCACCTGTAGGCCTACTGCACAAAATATGTAGGATCATAGCACAGACTATTGCACAACATATGTCTCAAATAGCATAGGTTTAGGCTTAGGCCTAGACCTAATAACAGGTTTAGGCTTAGGCCTAGACCTAAACTCACCTAGCCTTGTGATTTAGATTGAGCCATCTTTCTAGCAGTAAGGCAATATGCAAGTTTGACAGACCAAATAGATTATCAACTCCTGAGAATAGGTTTTCATGGGTTTTCCCCCTCTTCTGTAGGTATCCCTGTCTCTGTCTAGCCCCGGGCTGTGGAGATTGTTCTGAAAGGAAAAGGACAACAAACGGGGGAAGTGAACATGGCTGGGACCTCGGGCTTCTTTTCCAACGGACCCATTCCGTGGATTGAGAGTGACACCGAGATGAACAATCTTTACCGGGATCTGGAGTTGGGGACTGTGTTGACTCTGTTTTACTCCAAAAAGTCCCAGCGACCTGAGAGAAGGACATTTCAGGTCAAACTTGAGACGAGGACAATTATCTGGACCCGAGGCACGGATAAAATAGAGGGAGAAAGTGAGTATGGCTCGCACATTCGAAAACGTGTGCAATGCATAGGCTGCATGATATTCGGTTTCATCCAATGAATACAATTTAGGCCTATCTGTGTAAAAAATATTGGGTAACTGTGATCATCACGCTGTCACAACTGGTCGTCACTGTCGCACAGCACAGGTTCTGAACGAAAGAATACGATGCCAAACTGGTCTGTTTACCCGCTGTCATAAATATAAATGTTTTTACAAAACAACAAAGCTGTCTGAGACGCACGAGTGTCACACAATAACAAAGAACTTGCTATACCATTTTGTCCCGTAGCTTGTGATTAGACGTGTACAATTACGTAATTGCGTATTTGTTACTACTATTATGAAGCTATTCTGGGATTTGAAGCAAATCCAGAAAGTGGGGCCTATAGTTTATTGAAACAACCTTATTTGGCCATATACTTTCTACATGGCCTACAGCATGTAGACTACATAAACTTTTGTCCCAGTGATAAATAAAGTGTAGAAACACATGCTAGATAGAAGAGTGTCAAATTCATCACAGGCCCTGTGTGTTTTCGTGAAGGGAGCCTTGTGCGTGCGCCGCTCACTCTTAACGGTGTCCCGGGTAGCAGGATGCATCTCGCACAGCTGTACTCTGCTCCGGATGCAGCCAAGGCGAAAGCAAAAAAAGTTTAAACGATTCCCTCCACACACACACTTACCTATGGTTGTCCTCTGTTATGCGTGCCTTTCTTTGTTTGCTTAAATCCATACTTAAAAAAAAAATACATGAAACGTTAATCAAATAGCTACAACCAACAACTGACTGTTTACTTGAGATTCAATTTGCACAGCCCATAACATTTTATTAAAACGTATGGATTTCAGCAAACAAAGGCACGCACGCAACTATAAACATAGGTAAACGGTAAGGGTTTTACATTTTTTTAAGTATCGACTTATAGCAACTTGAAGGAGTGGGAGGTTCATTTCCAAAACTTCAGTCAGTGCTCAACTCCGTAGAGGAGATTAGGTACTTGAGAACGTCGTCATATGATATCCTACTCATTGCCAGTGAGATGATATTGGCGAATGCATCTCCTTAAAAATAGCATGGATCGTTTTTACTGGAAGTGTGGGATCATTTGGGAAAGAAGCAGCGCCATGTTAGTATTCCGACCTATCGACGGGGAGATCATTGGGCCTCTATCACATCACCACTGACTCAGCGTTATTGATGCCTGCTGGTTGCCTCCTAGAGAGGCAATCAAGATGATGTCCAATTACCTGCTGTAGGCCTGTGTAGATAATTGTCCCTAGTAAATTATCAAATTTAATTTCCTTATTTAGGGACACTAAATCTGACATGGGAATTTAATACAAATCAAATTGTATTTGACACATGTCCCGAATACAACAGGTGTAGTCTTTACTGTGAAATGCTTACTTACAGCCCATTCCCAACAATGCATAGTTAAAAAGTATGAAAAGATTAGAAAATAAGAAAAAAAAATGAAATAGTAACATAAGAAAATAACAATAACAAGGCTATTTACAAGGAGTACCTGTACCTAGTCAATGTGTCAATACCTCCTTAGTGATTGGTGTGCTTTTGGTCACCTGATAAACATTAGGAATATAATAGGTGATGTAGTAGCATATTAATTGGGACTGGTGAACAGCAGTTCACTTATTTGATGTACACTGACCTCACAGGAGTGAAGTACTAACAGACTACATCACTTTTTTGGTGGGTCAATAACCTATCAAACCCTACCTCAGCCGCCCCACCCTGCCTCCCCTTGAGTGCATCTCAAGCGAAGACCACAGCTTATGTCTAAGTGCACCGCGACAGTTCTAGACGGGTCAGACAGAGACCCAAAACTTCAGTGTGGCTGAGACGGTCCTTTCCCAAACACACATCAAGCACGTGATGCTTCACCTCATCTCAAACCCACCAGACCTGTGTGTGTGTGCCTTAATCAAACCACAGTCATAGCTTGCATCAACACATAAACATCTGGCTTTTGGTGTAGTAGTAGGCAGTATGTCTTTCTACTCTCAGCCAGCCAGGAACATACAGTAAATATGGCTACTTGACAATCTAAACTCTTGTTTGAACAGATGCTACTGGTATTTCTTAACATGTCGCTTGTATGTTATAAGACTTGCTGGTTTAGCTAGTATCACTAAGACTGAAATCCCAGTGTTGGCAGAATGTAGTCCGAGCACTGGCTGAGTGTGACCTGAGAATGTGGACAACATAGGTTCTCATTTGTGCTGACAAGTCTGAAGGCAGCAAGAGTGAATCGAGACATGCAGGGCCCAGTTCTTGCCCCAGACAACTCCATGCCGTTGTTTAGTAAACACAAATCGGTCCCAAGCCACTGCGTAAACAACACTGAGCGAAGCCATTGGAGAGCTATTTTAGAGTCTGTAAGGATCATGCTTATTAGAATCCCACTAATGGAAAGAGGGTTTACTAGACATGAATACAGGTGTTGATGAGTTGGCTACATCAGTGACTTCACACAACAGCATCAGAGACCCAGTAACTGCAGACATACAGTGGTGGCTGGCCTGGTTCCATTCTGTGTCCTTTCTTATAGTTATAGTAACCGTCACTTTGGATAAGATCTTCTGCTAAATGACTACAATGTATGTCTTGTGGTGAGATTCTTTAGATAAATGCTGAAACCGTCTCGGATTTGAGCGAGAGGTGTGTGTGTGTTCCGGAAAATGCACCTGCACACCTCTTTGGAAACTGTCTGTCAGACACTATATGTAGGCCTATGACATGTCTTTTGATTAGGATTTTCCATCCTTTCAGTACACAAGTCTAATAAAAAAGGACAACCTCTGCAATACCACAGTTAAATATATTCTACATCATGGGGACTGTGCATTGACCAATTAGTTAGTTTAAAGTTCAACAGCTCTGTTCTAATACTTCAGTGTAGTTTGTTATCCTCCCAAGATTCACCCTCAAACGTGCATATTATCCCTAAAGTAAACAAAGGTAGTTGTGCGGCAATGAGAGAAAGGTTAAGAGGGTAGAGGGGGGAGAGAGTAGAGGGAGAGGCAGGGGAGTAAAGTGAAGAGTGAACAGGCAGAGAGGGAGAGAAGTGTTGGTATGTTAGTCAGGATGCCTCCTCTCCTCTCCCTGTGTAAGGTCACACCTTTGGCTAGCTCTTATTTCCTGGAGCTCCACAATAACTCTGCAAATATTTAGACTGACTTACATGTTCTCTCGAATATCAACCTGTCAGATTCACTTAGTCTCAACCGAAGTCGGCTGCATAGATGCACGTGATGCAAAGTAGATGTGGGTGTGTGTAAGATTCTTCGAGATGAAGGTGGGTACATACATGGACACACACAAACACACACACACACACACAGTGTAGGCGGCAGAGCAGCACAGGATGTGTGGTTCAGGCAGGAAGAGGAGCAGGAGCAGAGCTATGAGAAACTGTTGTGTGTGTGTGTGTGAATATCTTATCACCTAACTAACTGCACCAGGACAATCAGTGGACCTCAAAAAGCTGACACTAACAAAATACCACTTTGCTACTCTGTCCATAACTTCAACTCTCCATATGCTTTACAGCTCATTCTTCTGTCCAAATCAGAACTTAAGATGCACATTCATACTGTAACTAGATGTCTTGCACAAATCTCCCATTGATATGATCTACGACGAAGTTCAAGGTATGCAGTATATGCCCTGAAACATGCACTGTATTGGGCTATTCAGATCCGGTTTCTGTTCATTAGCATTTGATCACCATCTGCAAGGCAAAGAAGGAAAGCTCTTGTCTCTGTGTGGGGCCCTTATAGTGAGCAGATGTGTGTGTGTGTGTGTGTAGCTTGAGGTTGTGGTTCTTTGAAGGTCTGTTACAACACTATGGCTAGAAAGCAGTGTCTTAGTATGCCATGCATTTGTAGCCCTCTGCTCTGCTTGACAATGTGCAAACCAAATTGTGATTGGTGGATACTGTTTAGCTAACAGTAACAGACTGTTTCATGTTTGAGTGACCTGGCTGACCCCAGTATCTGTCCCCCCCTCCTCCAGTTGATATCCGAGAGATAAAGGAGATCCGAGCGGGCCAGAAGTCTCGGGACTTTGAGCGCTATGTGGAGGACTCTACAGCACGGTTAGACCAGGCTCACTGCTTCGTCATCCTACACGGCACTGAGTTCCGCCTCAAAGCACTCAGCCTAGCAGGTAAATACTGAATACACTTGATAAAGAAAAGGAAAGCTGCACACTCTAGGAGCTCAGATGCAATAATTTAATATCCTAATAACCAACGTTTCGACAGACAAGCTGTCTTCATCAGGGTAAATGATTGCATCTGAGCTCCTAGAGTGTGCAGCTTTCCTTTTCTTTTCCAAGTGTTTTACGCCGTCAGCCAGCATCTCGCCTAAATAGGTGTGCGTTTCTTTCGCCTTTATCTAAATACTGAATACACACCACAGTATTACCTCCAAAGCCTTCCATTTTGTCAGAGAAAGACACACACCCATACCATAATGTACTCAGTGGAGCTTCAATGTCAGGACTTTGACACCTAACCCTTGACCTCTCCCGCCCCCTTTCCCCAGCGACTTCTGATGAGGAGATGACCATGTGGGTGAAGGGGCTGACCTGGCTGGTGGCAGACACACTCAAATCCCCCACCCCTCTACAGATAGAGAGGTACCCCTTTATTCGGTTGGGTAGGCTGAGTGGGCATTACTTGATGGTACATTGAAAATGGCTATCACACCACTTTGGGTGTCTAAGACTCAATTCTTCAATGTAACTCTCTTTTTTCACCCAGGTGGTTACGGAAGCAGTTTTATGCCATAGATCGCAACAGAGAAGACAAGTAAGTCAAATCAATCAGTGCTTTTGGATATGAACTATAAAAATGATTGAAAAAGCATTGCGTCAGCTTGGAGATAATGGAGAGCAATAATGCTTTTCTTTTGGAGACTTGGTACATTTGCGGTAGTGTATTATCAATAATTTAAAGCAGTACGACTAGCCACCTGCTGTAGCAAATAGCAATATAGGCCAGCCAGAGGCATTCTGGACAGACTGGGGATAAAAGCCAAGCTAGGGAATGAGCACATCTTAACAGTTTTTGAAGAAGCTTCCTACCAGCTCAGGCTGGTGTGTGTACGTGATGTGGAGGTGGCAGGTAGCTTAGTGGTTAAGAGCGTTGTGCCAGTAACCGAAAGGTCGCTGGTTCTAATCCCCAGAGCCAACTAGGTGAAGAATCTGTCGATGTGCCCTTGAGCAAGGCACTTAACCCTAATTGCTCATGTAAGTCGCTCTGGATAAGAGCGTCTGCTAAATGACTAAAATGTAATGTAAATGTAAGGAACCTTTCAGCCACAGACCTGCACAGCTTCCGTGTGTGTGAGAGAGAGTGCCCCCCCCATTCAGAAGCAGCTTCCTTTAAGTAGTCCTGAGCTCATGTCACTACATGGTACTCTTCCAGAAGTGTGTGCCCTGTATGTGTGTATATTCATTTGTGTGTTTGGCGGTGTGTGTATTTTAGGATATCCTGTAAGGATCTGAAGAGCATGCTGTGCCAGGTTAACTACAGGGTTCCCAACATGAGGTTCCTCAGAGAGAAACTTCCGGTAACATCCTCACACTCATCACATTTCCCTATTACCCTCCCCACCTGTGTGTGTGTGTGTTTCCAGTATCATCCTAACCCTGTGGTAACATTGCCCCCTCTCACTCTTTCTCTCAGGACTCTGAGTTGAGGAATGGAGACGTGTCCTTTAGCCAGTTTTCCCAACTCTATCGCAGCCTGATGTTTGACGCCCAGAAAGCTGTAAGTCATCTTCACCCTTCTCTCTCCCCCTCTCTCTCTCTCTCCCCCTCTCTCTCTCTCTCTCTGTCTCTCTGTCTGCTCTCAAATGGCTCCCAAATCAATAGAGGCCAGTTAAAACCCACAGAGCCTCTGGTAGAAACCATTAGGCCGTAGCAGACTGACAGGAGCTGTGTTGTCATACTGAAATGACAAGGTTTATTGTGTTTAATAATTTTCTTTACTTTTGTCTTTCAGATGGAGATTCCTTTTCTACAGAGGTAGATACTCACTCACACACACACCCTGAGCACAATGTTGTACTGTAGATGTGAGTTGTGTAACACAGCTCTCCCTCTGTGTCAGGTTCATTGAGAGACCAGAGCAGAAGATCTCACTAGAAGACTTCAAGACCTTCCTTCTGGAGGCCCAGAAGGTATGCTGGAAGATATAGCATTTCATCTATCGAAGTTCCTATGGATTCAGTACAACACAATGCTTGACTTCTCACACACATTAGTAACTAGTACTCTAGTAAATGTGTTGTTACATGTTAATACACAAGGATATCAAATGACCTGAAATGACATATTTGTGCAACAATGTGATGTGTGTAGGAGCTGTGGGCCACCGACAACAGTAAGGTGCAGGAGTTTATGTTTGGGTATCTGAAGGACCCACTGAGGGAGGTGGAACAACCCTTCTTCCACCAAGATGAGGTACCTTCTCTCTCACTTCTAGGCAATAAAATGAAAGTGCCACTATGATTAACTGTTTTCATGTTACACAGTGGTGAGAGTACGTCCAGGTTTCACATTATATAGCTTTTAAATAACTTAATTTGGAATATAACACCCACATCTTGCTGGTGAGATGAATGTGCCCGAGTTCTGTGGAAAGGAGGTGTTATTAGTTATTGTCGCACCACATAACTTGTCTGACACCAAGGAAGTGCCTCTAGTGTCTACCAACAGGAGAGAACATTTCATGTCTGGCCTGTGGTTAACAAAATAACTATCACTTTAAGTTGAGCACAATTACAAAGGGTGCCTGGTTTTCGCATAGTGGTGCTCGTCATTGGACTGTTTCTCTGTATTAATTAGAACCCCAATATTGATTGCATGTCTTCCCTCCCCCCTCTGTCTGTCTAGTTCCTGACGTACCTGTTTTCCAAAGAAAACACAGTCTGGGACTCAGCCCTGGACCAGGTGTGTCCTGAAGACATGAACAACCCCCTGTCTCATTACTGGATATCCTCATCTCATAACACGTAAGAACAGAGGGAGTGGGGGAGGGAGGAGAAAGGATTACTGTATTTGAAATGTTGTGCTAATGCTGGCTTCACATTAATTGTTAAGAGAGAAAGCATAGTTTCCCAGACATTTTTCCCTAGTCCAAAGGGATTTGTGTCCTACAGTTCTGATGTATATCAGATTAAAGTGGTATTATCTAACAGTCCCTTTTAACAATGAGAACTGGGCTTTGATTCATTTTCCTCCCATGGTTAATGTGATAACCTGATCATTTTCCTCCCATGGTTAATGTGATAACCTGATCATTTTCCTCCCATGGTTAATGTGATAACCTGATCATTTTCCTCCCATGGTTAATGTGATAACCTGATCATTTTCCTCCCATGGTTAATGTGATAACCTGATCATTTTCCTCCCATGGTTAATGTGATAACCTTTTGTGTTGGCTGTGAAACAACACACACAGTTCCATGTTGCTTTGATGAAGTCTGAATTGCCTGGCTGGAGCTGTGCCACTAGAGATCCTGGTTCGAATCCAGGCTCTGTCGCAGCCGGCCGCGACCGGGAGACTCATGGGCGGCGCACAATTGGCCCAGCTTCGTCCAGGGTAGGGGAGGGAATGGCCGGCAGGGATGTAGCTCAGTTGATAGAGCATGGCGTTTGCAACGCCAGGGTTGTGGGTTCGATTCCCACGGGGGGCCAGTATAAAAAGATATGTATTCACTAACTGTAAGTCGCTCTGGATAAGAGCGTCTGCTAAACGACTAAAAAAATTAAATGAGAAAGGGGTGTTTGATGAAGTCTGAATTGCCTGGCTGAATGAGAAAGGGGTGTTTACGCTAACCAACATAGACAGAAAGACCTTTTTCATTCCGTATTCAAAGTGGTTTCACTACCGCCACGGAAGGGGATGTGAAGAACACATGATGAAGGGAAAGGAGGCTTCTGTAGACGGTCTGATGTCTTGTGTGTGTCTGTCTGACGTGTGTTTGTGTGTGTCTGTCTGACGTGTGTTTGTGTGTGTCTGTCTGACGTGTGTTTGTGTGTGTTATTTGTAGCTACCTGACAGGTGACCAGTTTTCTAGTGAGTCGTCCCTGGAAGCGTACTCGCGCTGTCTGAGGATGGGCTGCCGCTGCATCGAGTGTGAGTTTCTATACACACACCCCTACCTCTGCTCTCTCCATAACCCAATGTCTTTCATACCTAAAGCCACTCTTCTCCACAATATCTGCATGACAAACACACCTTGTATACTGTATCCCTGCAGGCTGCACTGGTAGAGGGAACACTGGTCAGACCTGTTTCTAAAGGATCTCAGACTATTTTTAGAGACAGACGCACTGCTGCTCCGTTCAGAAAGGCACATGACACTTTAATATTTCATCTTGATATATACAGTGCCTTCAGAAAGTATTCACACACCTTTACGTTTTCCACATTATGTTGTTACAGCCTGAATTTAATATGGAATAAATTGAGATTTTTGTCACTGGCCTACACTACCCCATAATGTCAAAGTGGAATAATATTTTTTACAAATTAATTTAAAAATGAAAAGCTGAAATGTCTTGAGTCTAAGTATTCAACCCCTTTATGGCAAGCCTAAATAACTTCAAAAGTAAAAAATCTGCAGTAATAGTGTTTTAACATTATTTTTCAATGACTACCTCATCTCTGTACCCCACACATTCAATTATCTGTAAGGTCCCTTAGTCGAGCAGTGAATTTCAAACACAGAGTCAACCACAAAGACCAGGGAGGTTTTTCAATGCCTCGCAAAGAAGGGCACCTATTGGTAGATGGGTAAAAATAAAATAAAAACCAGACATTGAATATTCTTTTGAGCATGGCAAACTTATTAATTACACTTTGGATGGTGTATCAATACACCCAGTCACTACAAAGATACAGGCGTCCTTCCTAACTCAGTTGCCGGAGAGGAAGGAAACCGCTCAGGGATTTCACCAAGAGGCCAATGGTGACTTTAAAACAGTTTGTTTAATGGCTGTGATGGGAGAAAACTGAGGATGGATCAACAACATTGTAGTTACTCCACAATACTAAGGTAAATGACAGGGTGAAAATGAGGCCTGTACAGAATAAAAATATTTTGCAATAAGGCACTAAAGTAAAACAGCAAAAAATGTGGCAAAGAAATTAACTTTATGTCCTGAATACAATGCATTATGTTTGGGTCAAATCCAACACAACACATCACTGGGTAGCACTTCATATTTTCAAGCATAAGGTGGTGGCTGCAATATGTTATGGGTATGCTTGTCATTGGCAAGGAGTAGGGATTTATGTTTAAATTTGTTTTGCATAAAAATAAACGGAATAGAGTTAAGCACAGGGAAAATCCTAGAGGAAAACCTGGTTCAGTCTGGTTTCCAACAGACACTGGGAGACAAATTCACCTTTCAGCAGGACAATAACTTAAACACAAGTATGTACAGTGGGGGAAAAAAGTATTTAGTCAGCCACCAATTGTGCAAGTTCTCCCACTTAAAAAGATGAGAGAGGCCTGTAATTTTCATCATAGGTACACGTCAACTATGACAGACAAATTGAGAGAGAAAAAATCGAGAAAATCACATTGTAGGATTTTTCATGAATTTATTTGCAAATTATGGTGGAAAATAAGTATTTGGTCACCTACAAACAAGCAAGATTTCTGGCTCTCACAGACCTGTAACTTCTTCTTTAAGAGGCTCCTCTGTCCTCCACTCGTTACCTGTATTAATGGCACCTGTTTGAACTTGTTATCAGTATAAAAGACACCTGTCCACAACCTCAAACAGTCACACTCCAAACTCCACTATGGCCAAGACCAAAGAGCTGTCAAAGGACACCAGAAACAAAATTGTAGACCTGCACCAGGCTGGGAAGACTGAATATGCAATAGGTAAGCAGCTTGGTTTGAAGAAATCAACTGTGGGAGCAATTATTAGGAAATGGAAGACATACAAGACCACTGATAATCTCCCTCGATCTGGGGCTCCACGCAAGATCTCACCCCGTGGGGTCAAAATGATCACAAGAACGGTGAGCAAAAATCCCAGAACCACACGGGGGGACCTAGTGAATGACCTGCAGAGAGCTGGGACCAAAGTAACAAAGCCTACCATCAGTAACACACTACGCCGCCAGGGACTAAAATCCTGCAGTGCCAGACGTGTCCCCCCGCTTAAGCCAGTACATGTCCAGGCCCGTCTGAAGTTTGCTAGAGTGCATTTGGATGATCCAGAAGAGGATTGGGAGAACGTCATATGGTCAGATGAAACCAAAATATAACTTTTTGGTAAAAACTCAACTCGTCGTGTTTGGAGGACAAAGAATGCTGAGTTGCATCCAAAGAACACCATACCTACTGTGAAGCATGGGGGTGGAAACATCATGCTTTGGGGCTGTTTTTCTGCAAAGGGACCAGGACGACGGATCCGTGTAAAGGAAAGAATGAATGGGGCCATGTATCGTGAGATTTTGAGTGAAAACCTCCTTCCATCAGCAAGGGCATTGAAGATGAAACGTGGCTGGGTCTTTCAGCATGACAATGATCCCAAACACACCGCCCGGGCAACGAAGGAGTGGCTTCGTAAGAAGCATTTCAAGGTCCTGGAGTGGCCTAGCCAGTCTCCAGATCTCAACCCCATAGAAAATCTTTGGAGGGAGTTGAAAGTCTGTGTTGCCCAGCGACAGTCCCAAAACATCACTGCTCTAGAGGAGATTTGCATGGAGGAATGGGCCAAAATACCAGCAACAGTGTGTGAAAACCTTGTGAAGACTTACAGAAAACGTTTGACCTGTGTCATTGCCAACAAAGGGTATATAACAAAGTATTGAGAAACTTTTGTTATTGACCAAATACTTATTTTCCACCATAATTTGCAAATAAATTCATTAAAAATCCTACAATGTGATTTTCTGGATTTTTTTTCTCATTTTGTCTGTCATAGTTGACGTGTACCTATGATGAAAATTACAGGCCTCTCTCATCTTTTTAAGTTGGAGAACTTGCACAATTGGTGGCTGACTAAATACTTTTTTCCCCCACTGTATATACAGTACCAGTCAAAAGTCTGGACACCTACTCATTCAAGGGTTTTTCTTTATTTGTACTATTTTCTACATTGTAGAATAATAGTGAAGACATCACAACTATGAAATAACACATATGGAATCATGTAGTAACCAAAAAAGTGTTACAAAAATCAAAATATATTTTAGATTTTAGATTCTTCAAAGTAGCCACCCTTTGCCTTGATGACAGCTTTGCACGCTCTTGGCATTCTCTGAACCAGCTTCACCTGGAATGCTTTTCCAACAGTCTTGAAGGAGTTCCCACATATGCTGAGCAGTTGTTGGCTGCTTTTCCTTCACTCTGTGGTCCAACTCATCCCAAACCATCTCAATTGGGTTGAGGTCGGGTAATTGTGGAGCCCAGGTCATCTGATGCAGCACTCATCACTCTCCTTCTTGGTCAAATAGCCCTTACACAGTCTGGAGGTGTGTTGGGTCATTGTCCTGTTGAAAAACAAATGATAGTCCCACTAAGCGCAAACCAGATGGGATGGCGTATCGCTGAAGAATGCTGTGGTAGCCATGCTGGTTCAGTGTGCCTTGAATTCTAAATAAATCACAGACAGTATCACCAGCAAAGCACCATCACACCTCCTCCTCCATGCTTCACGGTGGGAACCACACATGCGGAGATCATCCGTTCACATACTCTGCATCTCACAAAGACACGGCGGTTGGAACCAAAAATCTCAAATTTGGACTCATCAGGCCAAAGGACAGATTTCCACTGGTCTAATGTCAATTGCTCGTGTTTCTTGGCCCAAGCAAGTCTCTTCTTCTTATTGGTGTCCTTTAGTAGTGGTTTCTTTGCAGCAATTTGACCATGAAGGCCCGATTTCACGCAGTCTCCTCTGAACAATTGATGTTGAGATGTGTCTGTTACTTGAATCTGTGAAGCATTTATTTGGGCTGCAATCTCAGGTGCAGTTACGTCTAATGAACTTATCCTCTGCAGCAGAGGTAACTCTGGGTCTTCCTTTCCTGTGGCGGTCCTCATGAGGGCCAGTTTAATCATAGCGCTTGATGGTTTTTGCGACTGCACTTGAAGAAACTTTCAAAGTTCTTGACATTTTCCGGGTTTACTGACCTTCATGTCTTAAAGTAATTGATGGGCTGTCGTCTCTCTTTGCTTATTTGAGCTGTTCTTGCCATAATATGGACTTGGTCTTTTACCAAATAGGGCTATCCTCTGTATACCACCCCTACCTTGTCACAACACAACTGATTGGCTCAGACGCATTAAGAAGGAAATAAATTCCACAAATTAACTTTTAACAAGGCACACCTGTTAATTTAAATGCATTCCAGGTGACTACCTCATGAAGCTGGTTGAGAGAATGCCACGAGTGTGCAAAGCTGTCATCAAGGCAAAGGGTGTCTATTTGAAGAATCTCAAATATAAAATATATGTTGATTTGTTGAACATTTTCTTGGTTACTACATGATTCCATGTGTGTTATTTCATAGTTTTGATGTCTTCACTATTATTCTACAATGTAGAAAATAGTAAAAATAAAGACCCTTGAATGAGTAGGTGTGTCAACTTTTGACTGGTACTGTATACATGCAAATACTGGAGTTGCTTACCAAGACGACATTGAATGTCCTGAGTGGCCTAGTTACAGTTTTGACTTAAATCTGCTTGAAAATCTGTGGCAAGACTTGAAAAGGGCTGTCTAGCTAATCTTTAAAGAATAAGTCGCAAATATTGTACAATCCAGGTGTGCAAAGCTCTTAGACTTACCCAGAAAGACTCACAGCTGTAATTGCTACCAAAGGTGATTCTAACATTTATTGACTCAGGGTGTGAATACTTATGTAAATAAGATATTTCTCTATTTCATTTTCAATAAATGTTTTCACTTCATCATTATGGGGTATTGTGTGTAGATGGTTGAGAAAAATAAAGAAGCTATTTAATCAATTTTGATTTCAGGCTGTAACACAACAACATGTGGAAAAGGTCAAGGGGTATGCTGTCCTTCCTCTCTTTTTCATTGGTTTAGATTGAAAATGATTTATCCAATATCTAATTTGTATCCTATATCTTTAATTTTGAGGCTGGTTGTGCAACCCTAGTCTAAGCCTACACCTGGGATACAAACCACGGTCAATGGAGAATCTCCACTAACAGTGTCTTTTGGTTCAGTAGTATGCTTATCCTGGGAATGTGTAGCTGCCCTTGTAAATGGGAACAGACAGAAACTAGAGTTTGTACTCAACGGGTTAACGAACTAACTAACGTGGTTAGAGCCTACTACTTCCCACTTACCCTTTGTCAACCAACACCCACTCAACTCACCAAATATGCAGACCAGACATCACTACTATGCCATTAAAAAAAAGTGTATGTTTCCAGTGGACTGCTGGGATGGTCCAGATGGAATGCCTGTCATCTACCACGGACACACCCTCACCACCAAGATCAAGTTCTGTGATGTCCTGGCGACCATCAAGGAACACGCCTTTGTGACGTCTGAGTGAGTCTCCATGTGCTCAGATAGTCTTTGTGTTTATAAGCTTGAGTGATACTCAGTAGACCATATCCTTAATCTACTATCCTCTAAAAAGAACATGACATGAAATGTGAAGTTCACCATAGGGGGAAAAAGCCTTTGACTTGTCCTGTTGACCTCTGACCCCTCTCCCCCTCTTACTCCTCCCCCAGCTACCCCATCATCCTGTCCATAGAGGACCACTGCAGCATTGTCCAGCAGAGGAACATGGCTACCTACTTTAAGAAGGTCTTTGGAGACATGCTTCTTACCAAGGCTGTGGACATCTCCGCCGACGGACTGCCCTCACCCAATCAGCTTAAGAGGAAGATCCTCATCAAGGTCAGGGGTCACAGGGCCATTGGGATTTGGAATGAAAGATGTTTGTGTTAGGTTGTCATTTTAATGTACGCTTGGATCAGAGCATCTGCTAAATGACAACGTAAACAAACTGCCAAATAGATGAACTCTGCAGTCTTTTCACTCTTCCTCTCCCTGTCTTGTGCAGCATAAAAAGCTAGCGGAGGGCAGTGCCTATGAGGAGGTGTCCACCTCCACTCCCTACTCTGAGAATGACATCAGCAACTCCATCAAGAATGGCATTCTCTTTCTGGAGGACCCCATCAACCATGTGAGAACTTTTTTTCTATCTGTCTACAGTGAGCTCCAAAAGTATTTGGACAGTGACACATTTTGTTGTTTTGTCTCTGTAGTCTAGCACTTTGCATTTTAAATGATACAATGACTGAGGTTAAAGTGTCCAACATCAGTGCCCGACCTCACTAATGCTCTTGTGGCTGAATGTCGTAGCCGGCCGCGACCGGGAGACCCATGGGGCGGCGCACAATTGGCCCATGGTCGTCCAGGGTAGGGGAGGGAATGGCCGGCAGGGATGTAGCTCAGTTGGTAGAGCATGGCGTTTGCAACGCCAGGGTTGTGGGTTCGATTCGTATGCACTCACTAACTGTAAGTCGCTCTGGATAAGAGCGTCTGCTAAATGACTAAAATGTAAATGTTGTACGGTCCATAGCTCTCTTGCCACTGTTACCTTTTTTAAATAACTTTTTCAAACTTCTAACTCAAACACCATCTCCCCCTATCTCTCTGCAGGAGTGGTACCCTCACTTCTTTGTCCTGACCAGCAGTAAGATCTACTACTCAGAGGAGACGTCTAACAACCAAGGCAACGAGGATGAGGAGGAGCACAGAGAGGTGAGGAAGGCGGTACATAAAGGACAGAACATCACTTTATGTTGCTTAATGCCATAGGAGTTCCAACATTAAACTATCACTCTTTCTCTCTCTTTTCCACTCTCTCTCTCCTTTCTTATTTTTTACATTTTATTTTTCAATTTTCCTCTTCCTTTCCTTTTCTTCTTTTTCATTTTATTTTTCCTTTTCTTTTCTTTACTATTTATTTTCATTTATTTTCATTTATTTTATTTTATTTTCTGTTCTTTTCTTTTCTTTTCTTGTCTTTTCTTTTTCATTTGTTTTCTTTCCTTTTTATTTTCTTATCTTTTATTTTATTTTCACGTCTTTACTTATCTTTTCCTTTTCTTTTTCTTTTCTTTTCTTTTCTTTTCTTTCCAGGTCTCTAACGGTATGGACCAACATATAGCAGAGAAGTGGTTCCATGGGAAGCTGGGTGCTGGTCGGGACGGGAGGCAGATAGCTGAGCGGCTGCTGTCAGAGTACTGTCTGGAGACGGGCGCTCCCGACGGGTCCTTCCTGGTCCGGGAGAGTGAGACGTTTGTAGGAGACTACACTTTGTCCTTCTGGTAAATCTCCCCACTGTACCCCCCCTACTACCCCCAACTGTACAACCCCCCCCCCCCCCCCCGTTTCTGTAAGAGTCAGTCACGGGCTAGGCTGCTGGTCAGTAGCCCTCTCACTCTCTGCTAATGCATGGGACAGGGCTGTATAACTGGGATCATCTCATTCCAAATCAATACTCATCCACAGACACAGAGTGACGTATGCTCTGTCAGACCCTGACATACAGAGGAATATGTAATGGATGATTACCTTTTTGTTTAGCTTCTCTAACCTGGTCTCTCTTTCACTGTCCGCACAGGCGTTCAGGCCGGGTGCAGCACTGTCGTATCCACTCTCGCCAGGAGGCGGGCAGCCCCAAGTTCTACCTGACAGACAACCTGGTGTTTGACACGCTATTCGCCCTCATCACCCACTACCAGCAGGTGGCGCTGCGCTGCAACGAGTTTGAGATGAAGCTGACTGAGCCTGTGCCCCAGACCAACGCCCACGAGAGCAAAGAGTACGTCCAGCTCTCAGATAGTCATTCATTTAAATCTCATACGTGTCAGTGATGACTTTATGAAAGGGGAAGGAAGGAAGTGTAAATGAGTGTGTATGTTCTAGATGGTACCATGCCAACCTGTCTCGGAGCCACGCAGAGAACATGCTGATGAGGGTTCCACGTGACGGGGCGTTCCTTGTCAGGAAAAGGGCCGAGCTAAGCTCCTTCGCCATCTCCTTCAGGTGAGTCCCAAATATAGAAACAAACGACTAAACAAAAATAGAGAATGATATGTGCAGTTTGTTGTAGTTGTTACTGATGGGTAAAATGCAGCATTCTGTTATTGTTTACTTGATATTAGGAAAGTTGACATACATTACCGCCTCACCAGCTTGCTAGAACTTGTTTTGGAAGCAAGACGTTAAGAGTACACCGTGAGCTAGCTCAGAGAACGGTGACCTAGTGCAAGCTTCTATGCCTTCAACCCATCACTTATTTTCTCATGAAAATCTTTAGTCAGTGGTTTTGAAAATATTTTTACTGGTGGCCCATTTTTTTTTTGTCACAGTTTGCAACCTAAGCCACCATATTGTAATATGGGACGTGTGGGCAAGGGCAAAAAAATAAATAAAGGTCGACCAAATTCACATAGAAATGTGAGTTTTATATATCTATTCTACTATGCTTCACGTTCTTAAGTTGAGTTTTTTGCGTCTTTTACTTTCGGTTTTGTACACCAGCTTCAAACAGCTGAAAATACAAAATTCTTGGTTATGGAAAATATATTTCACAGCGGTTTAGATGGTACAATGATTCTCTACACTATACTACCTTATTTTGTCACTTAAACTGAAATTAGGCGAACTATTAGTTTTAGCAACCAGGAAATGGCGGAGCGATTTCTGCATATTGCTTGAGGCATGTGTTCTTTACTGTGTTACACCACTAGTATAGCTCACACAGACATCCACCTGGCCTCTCGAGACATGCATTATAGCGTCTGCTCTGGCCTTTCTGACAGGGCTGTTTTGATAATGTACATGGCAGTTGTAGGTCTATTTGCAATGAAAAGCATTTTCCATGACGATGGATTCTTGCCACTGTCGTCTTGGCGTCCTCTTTTTTTTTTAGGGGTTTTTGTTCGTATTGCTGTGATTAACGCAGCCGGATGCACGCAGCAGGACACGTACACGCGTGTTTAACCCTGTGTTGTCATCCCCTCAGGGCAGAGGGGAAGATCAAGCACTGCAGGGTGCAGCAGGAGGGTCAGACGGTGGTGTTGGGGACGTCGGAGTTCGACAGCCTGGTGGATCTCATCAGCTACTACGAGAAACACCCCTTGTACCGTAAAATGAAGCTCCGCTACCCCATCAATGAGGAGACACTGGAGAAGATAGGCACCGCTGTGAGTGGACCGTGCACACACACACACACACACACACACACACACACACAATTGTACTCACGATTGTTGCTGTAGTGAATTTAAGTGAGTGGGATATCCTCTGAACTATCATGTATTTGTCAGGAGCCAGATTACGGGTCTCTGTATGAGGGGCGGAACCCTGGGTTCTATGTAGAAGCCAATCAGATGCCCACCTTCAAGGTAAGACTGCACCAGATCTCTGATCTCCTGTGGGTTTAGATCCTGTTCCCTTCCCTCTCTTTGCTAATGTAACAAGGGTTGTGGTGTGTGTCCTAACCCCCTCACATCGGTCTGCAGTGCACAGTGAAGGCCATGTATGAGTACAAGGCCCAGAGGGATGATGAGCTGTCCTTCAGTAAGAACACCATCATCCAGAACGTGGACAAACAGGAAGGAGGCTGGTGAGTAACATCACACAGGAAGTCGGGTTCACTATCCATATCTATCAAATCATCACAGAGCTACATGAGTTATCTAGGGCTGGGGGTTGATTATAGAACATCCTTCTAGAGTGAACCCCATTCCCTTTGTGTGTGTCTGTGTGTCAAACTCTCTCGCTCTCACTCAGGTGGAAGGGGGACTGTGGTGGGAAGAAGCAGCTGTGGTTTCCTGCTAACTACGTAGAGGAGATCAGTCCTTCAGCTGTGGAGCCAGACAGATCAGTAAGGCCCTCTACCCTGTAGACGCATACTGGCATACGCAAATGTTACAGCCGCTAGTCTATGCTATGAGAGGGACTTGTCATTTTCTAGCATCGTTTATAGCGACAACGTGTAAAATGCTGCTGTTGGGTTTTTTGATTAGCATTCACGTCTCCTCTCTCTCCCTCTCTAACACTCCCCCATCCCTCCTCCCCTACAGCAGCTGACAGAGAACAGTCCTCTGGGAGACCTGCTGAGAGGAAGTGTAGACGTGTCTTCCTGTCAGATTGGTGAGTGACTCCTCCCCTTCCTTTTTCTATCCTCCTGCAGATAGCACAGTCACCTTGCCTCGGGACGACCTCTTAGATACTCTATCTCCCCATCAATCTCTTTTCTTTATCTCTCCCACATGCTCTCACCCCCCACTCTCTCTCTCTCTGGCGTTATCACTGTTCTATCTCACTCTCTGTGGTGTGTCTAATCTGTATTGATACACTTTAAAGGTTCAATACACAGCCCTTACATTACCACTGGCACATGCTGTGCCATGCACCACTGTTTGTTATGAATGAGCATCAAACAGCCTAACTAGCATGTGTTGATGGCTGCCACATCTCTCTCTAAATCTCTCTCATCTCTCCCCCTCTCTTGCGCTTTCTCTCTGTCTCCCCCTAGTGGTGCGGCCTGATGGTAAGGGAAGCAGGCTGCATGTGTTCTCCCTCCTCCCGGCTGCCTCTCCCAGGGCAGGACAGGTCCTGGACATCGCTGCCAACACCCAGGAGGAGCTCAAGGAGTGGGTCATCAAGATCAGAGAGGTCACCATGACATCAGAGGCCAAGGTATGAAAATAATACTTTGTAGTAAATGTGTAAGAATAAAGAATGGAAGAAGCATTTTCTTTCTTTGAGGAATAATTCCTCAGAAACGAAGCGTGTAAGTAGTGTCAAACTGAGTCTTGTGGTTGTCTGTGAAGTAATGACAATGTGTGTGTCAGCTGGAGGAGGGGAAGATGATGGAGAGGAGGAAGAAGATTGCTCTGGAGCTGTCTGACCTGGTCATCTACTGTAGACCTGTACCCTTCGACGAGGACAGTAAGGACGCGTCTGTACAGCTAAAAACACTCTGACCACACAAACAAGCATATCTCACCCCCCCCCATCTCCCCCCTTGCTCCTGTAGAGATTGGGACAGAGCGGGCGTGTTTCCGGGACATGTCGTCGTTCCCGGAGACCAAGGCAGAGAAGTATGTGAACCGGATCAAGGGGAAGAGGTTCCTGCAGTACAACCGGCTGCAGCTGTCCCGTATCTACCCCCGTGGACAGAGGCTGGACTCCTCCAACTACGACCCTCTGCCCATGTGGCTCTGTGGATCCCAACTGGTCGCACTGAATTTCCAGACCGCAGGTACGGAGGGAGGGAGGGAGGGTGAGTTGTTGGAGGGAGTTACTGAGTGAGAAGGGGATGGATACACTGGGGTAGTAGAGGGGATTTTTCCTGATTTTAAGAATTACTGGTTTTCCTTACGTTACCTTTTTGAAGATGACACACCGACCCCAGCTGACTGAACTTCTTCTCCCCTCTCCTTTCTTCACTCTCTCCTTCAATCCCTCACTCACCTTCTCCCTTCCCCTCTCCAGACAAACCCATGCAGATGAACCAGGCTCTGTTCATGTTGAACGGGAGGAGTGGCTACGTCCTCCAGCCACCAATCATGAGAGACGACAACTTTGACCCCTTCGACCGACACACACTGAGGGGCCTGGAGTCGGTCACCCTACAGATAGAGGTGTCTGTGGTCTAGGTCTTCTATCCTCCTGGGGACATGAAATCCCCACAAGGATTCTCCCTCAGTGGGACATTTCCCATGTCCCCATGAGGACATTTACATTTACGTCATTTAGCAGACCCTCTTATCCAGAGCGACTTACAAATTGGTGCATTCACCTTATAGCCAGTGGGACAACCACTTTACAATTATTATTATTATTATTATTATTTAATTTTTTGGGTGGGGTAAGGGGGGGGTAGAAGGATTACTTTATCCTATCCCAGGTGTTCCTTAAAGAGGTGGGGTTTCAAATGTCTCCGGAAGGTGGTGAGTGACTCCGCTGTCCTGGCGTCGTGAGGGAGCTTGTTCCACCATTGGGGTGCCAGAGCAGCTATCTTAAGCTTAGCAGTTAGGGCTACAATTAGGGTAAGGGAAAATATAGTTTTAGGTCCCCATGAGGATAGAAAAATGTGCGTGTGAGGAAAAGGTGAGTGTGAAGGTGTTTAAACTGTCTGTTCTCTCCAGGTGTTGGGTGCTCGTCACCTGCCTAAACATGGTCGTGGCATTGTTTGCCCGCTGATTGAGATCGAGGTGTGTGGCGCAGAATACGACAGTGCCAAGCAGAAGACCGACTCAGAGGGTGAGTAACACACCTGACACTAATACACTTCATTCAACCAATCAGGTTCTTTACATCTAGCTAGTAGTTGGTTAGTTGAACCAAGTGATATTTCTAAGAGAAGGGTCCAAGGTGTTAAGGCCAGGGGAAAGGTGTAGTGATGGGTTTGGAACTAAGCTTGTCATTTCCTGTCCAGTTATGGAAAAACAGAAAGTTGTACAAATAGCTAAGGACTGTGTGGGAACCTGATGGAGAAAACATCCCCTCATCCCCTAGTGTGTACACACACACACACACACACACAAAAACACACACACACACACACACAATATATGACAATGGGGACTTTAGATGGCTAATCGAGTCTTCTCTCTCTCCATGTTCTCTTTAGCGGATAACGGTCTGAACCCGACGTGGCCTCGGAAGCCCTTCCAGTTCACTGTGTGTAACTCTGCCTTTGCCTTCCTGCGCTTTGTGGTGTACGAGATTGACATGTTCAGTGACCAGAACTTCCTGGCCCAGGCCAGCTTCCCCATCAACAGCCTCAAGACAGGTACGCGTCACACCGCACCAACACCCACTCGGATTGGCTGAGACAAGTATGATACACCCTGACTGGCTCTTTGACTAGCAGGATAGATTGACATTTCAGATTATCATTCTGTTTGCATTAATAATAATAATAATAATAATAATAAACTCATGTCTGTCTGTGTGGTGTCAGGTTACCGGTCGGTCCCTCTGAAGAACAGCTGTAATGAGGATCTGGAGCTGGCCTCTCTGCTGGTGCACATGGACATCACCCGGGGCAGGGTAGGTACTGGTACACTCACTGGACTGACTCCACCACCACTGTCAGAGTTCCCATCAGCCATCACACATTGGCTGGGACAGTTATTCACTAGGGCCGGGATGATACCAGTATCGCGGTACTCGTTAGTATCCTGGCAAGGAAACAAAACACAAAGTGGATTTAACTTCTTTAGGAAAACAGCCCTAATATTGGAAACAAACATAATTATGTTGTCATCCAGAATTACATTTATTTATTTTCCAAGCAATAGCACACAATATTTTACATACTGCAAGTTTTTAAAGGACCAAAGAGTTATCTTTGTGTTTTCATTTTTGCCATGGAAAAAAATATTGCGATACTGGTATCCTCACAGCCCTAATATTCAATCCTCTCCTTCAACTTATTTTCTCTCCCTCTACTAGGCTGAGAATGGGGAGGTGCTGAGCCCGTTCCTGCCGGTAGGAGGTGCCTCTGCAGCGGTGGTTACCCAGACAGGGCGTGAGCGTCTGGGGGAGACAGGCTCCACGTCCTCAGCCTCCTCCATGTCCCCTCTGCCCCAGTCCCCAGCAACCCCAACCCAGGCTCAGACACAGGCCTACAGAGGCAGGGAGGGCTCCTTCGAGGCCCGCTACCAGACGCCTCTGGATGACTTCAGAGTATCACAGGAGGCTCTGCTGGACCTGGACCCTCAGAACAGGAGGTATGTGTAAGGGTGCGTACTTCTATCTATAAACGGGCTACTTTCTATCTATCTGTGTTGGTGCATTTCAGTTTTGTGAGATTTTAGCGTGTTCTTGCTTGCTCTCTCTCTCTCTTACTCTCTCACCCCATCCCCCCCTCCCTCAGGATGATGCGCAGGACCAGAGTGGGCGGAGAGAACCGCATTTAGGCCTGACCAATCAGGGCGCATTCCAAATCCCCCCCCAGCTCCTCCCCGTACCGATGATGTCACTGACTGCTGTGAACACTGTTTCTATGGAAACGCCCACCACCGCTTTGGCCTACATTTCAGGCAGCTCTCCCTTGCTCTGCACTCTTTCTCTCCTCTGTGTCCCCCTCTTGGAGTGAGTGAGTGGGAGGAGGGGAGCGAGAAGACAAAGACAACAACATGAAAAAAAATAAGCAAAGAAGTTTCAGCCCTCGGCTAAGATGTCGGGAGATGGGGAATTTTGACGCGCTCGATTCGAGCGCAAAAGTTTGCAAGGGGAAAGAAGAATGGAAGAGGGGAGGGAGGGAGCTGTGAAGGTGTCAGTTGGAAACTGTTTTCCAGGTTAGGTTATGATTTTTCTCTTCTCTCTGGCGTATATGAGTATATATATTTATTCCTGCTGTGCTGTTGGCCAGACAACGGCAGCAGCCAACCTGCTCTCAAAGAGCTTCTGTCTCCATGTTTTTTTTTATTATTTAAACTTTTAAACGTGATTTTTTTATTTTTTATTTTTTATGTGTAAAACCCGAGGGCTCTCTGTGGAGTAACTCAAGCCTTTACACACACACACACACACACACACACAGGCTTTTCTTACTTTGCCAAACATGCATTCTGAAAACGACGGGTCATCCCGTTGCCTGCCTTGTGACGTAAAAGCAGTTGCTCTTAACAGTCTCTAACAGTAGAAACACTCACACTCTTACCCCGTATACACCAAGCTGAAGAGTTACAGATTCTGTCATAGAAATATAAAGGTCATTTCCGATTGAGCCGACAAATGCAACGTTTACTGTGAATGCTGTCTCTGCTAAAGTGGGAACATTGCCTTTAAATTTCAATAACGCTGTAAAACTGAACTTCCACAATGCGGCTTGAATAGAGCCCTCAGTCTACATCCCAAATTACACCCACCCCCCCCCCCCAAATATAGAACCTTGTCAAAAGTGCTACCCTATTTGGAGATTAGCGTGTCATTATATGACTCTTTAGGATGCCATACTGCATTGTAGAGTGCCGGAACAGGGCTAGCCTGTCTGTCCCTGAAAGCTGTGTCAGTAAGCACTGCTGTGAGTTCTAATGCTAGTGATGAAGTCACATTCTTAATGTTTTATCTCTGTTTCAATGTGGATATATGGAGGAGAGACGGGGTGCCACTGGATGCAGTGTGTTGTATTCAGTTCTGCCCACACGTTTACAAGACAGGCTTGGTTTAAGCAGACATTCCGGTGCCAGCGCAGAGCGGTTTTTGTTTTAATTAATGTTTTACTGTAGCAAGTGTCTACAGTTTCTGCTCTGGACTTGCCTTTCATTCAAAGTGGAAATGTAATGGAGGTCAATGGAAGACATTAGTTTACCTATGTGTTAAAGTTGTCTAAATTGTAGGCCGTCGTTCCTCTTAAATGTACCGTCTTAACTGGTTTTGAGGGGCTTGCATGTACACGTGTAGATAATCTTAGAGCAGAGAGCGCTAGGAGGTCAACGAACCAAATTAAGTGCAGTATTGCTGGCCAAGAATGACCTAACTGAAATCCTATAGATTGTAAGGCTGTTCTTAAATGTTTGCGTGTAGGTCAGTGGTGCTTGTAGACGTATTATTCAGCTGAGGGGGTGTTTGTCTTTTCCATTCCGTTGTGGCATTCCGGAGATTCCAGATGCTCCCAAAGATTTTCTGAACATTATTTTCAGCGCAGCTGTTTGCAACAGAACTGCTGATTGATCAAGACTTCTGTATTAGACTTGCAGAGACATGAAGGGGTTAAATCACTGTGGTCTGTAGTGACATGACTCAGCCTGCAGGGGTCATAACAGCACATTTTAATGTAATTCAAGTGAGATTAGTTAATTTCTAAATCTCCATAGCAAATCTTACTGAATGTATATCGGTGTTGTTCCTGAAAGCTCATTTGATCATTCCTGACTGATACACTATAGTCTGGCATATACCTCCAGTTGGTGGTTTAATGACAGGTGCCCTCAGAAACCAATCTAAGGTCACGCACTTTTGTGCTTACCCCCATAATGGTTTAGGCTGGGAGTAGGGGACGCCAGAGTCATATTTCACTTGATATGCAATGCCCCTCTTGAGCAGACCATGCACTCTAAAACCAGTATTCAGAATGTTATGCCATGGAGGGAAACTCCTTTTGAAGCCATATGGATTTAGTTAAGTGGAACACGGGGGTTGGAACTGAATACTTAAGGTCTGAATCTTTCCACCTTTCGTTTTGCACCCATCTCCATTGTCAGATTTTCATTGGTTGAGGGATCAAGACTTGGTTGTACACTCTTTCGCTCTGTGTTGTGGAGAGTTGTCCCTCTTGCGCTACATAGCGCCTAATGCTGACCAGTGTGTTTTCTTCCATGGGCCTCTGTCTGTATGTACACAACTATATAATCTACATTGTTGATTCAGAAATCCTGTTGGTGTCTTATGTCATCTCTTGTTTTTATCTAGACAGGTCACAATGGTGACTGAGGGTCTCATTTACAAACCAAGCCTTTCTGTATTGTGCCTAAGCTATGGAGAAAAAGTATTCCTTTTAATTTTGCCTTTCATATGAAACATATTCAAGCCTGAGAATTAAATAAAGTACTTAATCAACTATGATTGGCCTGATCTTATGCATGTATAAACATTCACATGAATACAAGTGTTTACTGAATGTAAAACTGCCATAAAATGCAAGTTTAGTGCACATTCACATCACGTAACTGTAGGCCTACAGTTAACGGAGAAGGTTTGAAGTGTTAATTAGTCAGAGCAAATACACTTTATTGATAGGTTGTTTCAGTGTGATCAGAAAATAAACTTTATCATTGACTTTGAAAATAAGTAGGACAGGAAACCAATTTGTTACATTGTTTATTCTGCAAATATCTGTAAAAAGTATACAACAGGCCTACGTATGTTGGAACTTATTTTACAGTCAGTCAAGACGTTACAGTTTAAGAAAAATATCCATGAAAAGATACACAAAAACAGAAGTCCATACAGAACAAAAGCACTTGATGCTGAAACAAGGACACATCTAATATTCACCTCAGACCTCAAGTCTCCTTTTTTTTTTTAAAGACCTGTGCAGTTCATCTCCTACCCCAGTCCCAAAAACCTCTTGGATACAGTTAGTATCTTCCCCTCCCTCACCAGTGATCCTCCCACTGGAGGATTGGCTTGGTCGATATACATCCAGTCAGGATTTTTTAAAACACCCCACCCCCTTCCCCCTCCTCTACCCATGTCTGCTGGAGCCAAAATCCCAACCACACCTCTCCCCTTTTCTCCAAATCCATCTGCCTCGTCTACTCCATTCAGGGGAGAGAGAAACATAGCCCCCTCCTCAGCGAATCCTGCACTTGAGTCTCAACTGGAACTGGTCGTTTGAAGGAGAAAATGGCAGATTAGATGTGAAGGAGTGGGGTGGGGGTGTAGGAAAGATGGAAAGCAGATGGGAGGGGGTGGCCATCTTCAGCATAGTGGAGTGTGTTGGAGGGTTGGGGGTCCAGTGTCCATCCCCAGCAAAGGGGTGGTTGGGGGGAGTTCAGGGTCCATTTCTAGTGATCCAGTTACAATCACATCTGCTGTCATGCACTCAAACACTCCCCGTGCAAAGACCACCTGCATTGTCCCTCTGGACCACCCCTCTCCCCGCCTAGACCAGGGTCTCCCAAACTCGGTCCTGGGGACCCCTGGGTGCACGTTTGGGTTTTTGCCCTAGCAATACACAGCTGATTAAAACAACCCACTCATCATCAAGCTTTGAATCATTTTTTTTTATCAGCTGCGTAGCGCTAGGGCAAAAACCAAAACGTGCACCCCGGGGGGGGATAGAGACTAGGACCGAGTTTGGGAAACCCTGCCCTAGACAAAGGTCCCTCAGTCTGTTCCTGTGACAGAAATGACAAAATTAATACAATAAATAAACCTTGTATGCATAATTACTGTAGTGCTACTTTATATCTCAATTATGACATAAGGTCATAGTGTCATGCGCCAAGATTCTAAATATACATATAACAAGAAAACAAACAAACTACACATCAAATCAAATTGGTGAAAGAAACACTACCTTTTTCAGGATTCACAGCCTTTGTGTCCACGCTCCTCTTCTCTTCCCCATCTTTCATTCCTCCACACACCGACTGTTCCATCTTCTCCTCCCCCCCTCCTTGGACCGGCTCTGATGATCCTTCCTCCATGTGTACCGTGGGTGATGGGTTGGGTGTTATTCCCTCTGGTACCCCCTCCACTGTGGCTGCAACCCCACTGTCCTTCCCCTGCAGCAGTATAGGAGCCTGGGTAGAGAACCAGCGTCGTACCAGCTCTTCTGTCAACCCACTAGCCTGGGCCAGCTCCAACACCTGGAGAGGACAGACAGTCTTACGAATCACTATTGACAGGCATTCTGCAACTCAACATTTAGACCCAGAGGCAACATGAGTATAGACAATTGCTAGACACACTTTACATCACGGTGCACAAATGTCGTTTCATGATTGTAATTTCTTGGTGTTATTACATGTAACTCCATACTAACTCGAACCAGTGGTTCTAATTCCCGCCCTGAGTTTGGAAGATCAAGCCTCGGCGGAGTCATACCAAAGACTGTAAAATGGGACCTAATGCGTCTCTGCACTCAACATTAAGGAGATAAATTGTGGGTAAGGTCCTGCGATAGACTAGCGTTCTGTCCAGGGGGTGTACTTTCTACATCAAGCTGCCTCACGCTGCAGAAACAGGAGATAGGGTCCTGCTCCTATGAGCTGTTCCAGCTTGTGCAATGCTACTTCAGAATACGAAGCTTAATAGAAAAAGAATTTATCCCAGATAACGTTAGAGTCCCACCTGTTCCTCCTCCAGACTCCCGTGGGCCTCCAGATGGGCCTTCAGCATCTGAGTGTCTCCCCTCTGGAAGTCCTCCTTTAGGACCATGGTCTGGTAGGCCTCCAGCCACTTAAGCTGGCCGTTCTTCTGCACGTAGCGACAGTCCCCGAACCAGCGCACCACCTCAGGCCTGGGCAGCCCTGTGGAAGAGATCAGCTCGTCATACTGGGCTGCGCTGGGCCACTGGGTCCGGACAAACACCTGCTTCAGGAGGTGGAGCTGCTCTAACGTCTTCTTGCCCCGGATAGGGGAGGGTTTGGGGGACGCGAAGGGCTTGAGGGCAGGAGTGGAAGATGGTGCTGCTGGTTTTGGGGTTGTAGAGGGGGAGGGTTTAGGTGATGGCGATGGCTTTGGGGTTAGAGTTGGAATTGTGGATGGAGCAGGGGTAAGGGTGGGGGTTGATTTTGGGGCTGGGTCTGGGGAGGGTGCTGGGGTAGGGGGAGACAAGGTAGGCATGGTGGGGCTGTCTGCCTGCCCTCCCTCAGACTCCAGTTTTCCATCTGACTCAGTCACTTTGAGCATCTTCAGGTTGATCTTAATGGGGTTCACCTTCAGCTCTGAGCCTGAACCATCCTCCTTCTGCCTCTCCTCCCCATCCTCCTCTTTCTTCACCCCAGCATCATCCTTACTCTTCCCCCCCTCCTCCCCTCCCCCTGCCTCCATCTCCTCCTCTTGCTCCGCCCTCTCCAACTCCTCTTTCTTCTTCTCAGCAGCGACTCTCTTCCTGCGTTCAGCGAACCAGCCGTGGATCTCTCTACGGGTCATCTTGGTCTCAGCCCGGAGGCGGTCCACCTCCTCTCCAGAGGGGTCAGGGTCCTGGCTGAAGCTGGCCTCCAGCGCCCTCACCTGGTTAGGTAGAGAAGAGATTAGTGTAGGGTAGACGAGCGTAGGTTTCTCATGTCCCAGTGAGCAATTTGATTGGCAGTAAATACACATTAAAGGGATACTTCACCCATATTATTATTATTTTTAAATCATCTTATGGAAAATTAAGCTGTGTGCAAAGTCAATCATCACAGTCACAGCACCACTCACCTGCTGAGGGTCCCTCTCTTTGTAGCGGATGGCTGTGAAGTCTGGGGAGGGGGGTCTGGGTGGCCGTCTGGACGGGGTGGTGGGGGAGGTGGGTGTCTGTGAGGGAGGGGGGCTGAGGGCTGCCAACCCCTGCTGGGAGGTTTTAGTGTTCTCACTGGGAGTTGCAGTGTCTGAGAGGTCCATGGGGGTAGCACTGTTACCTCTGGGCGTCCCAGGTGTGGTCGTTGCGCTAGCCGACCCGGGTGTGGTTGGAGTGCTAGCACCACCCTGACCGCCCGTGCTCGAACGTCCCCCCTTGAGGTTGCGGAAGTGGTAGCGGCGGTCGCTGAACCACTTACGGACCTCGCGCACGGTCAGGCCGGTGAAGGAGATGAGACGGTCCACCTCTTCCTGGTTGGGGAACTGGTTGTTGGTGAAGCTCTCTTTGAGCGCGCTCAGTTGCTCCACGGTCTTCTTGCTCTTGTAGAAGCCAGGGTCCAGGAAGCTGTTTGGGAGCGTTCTGGAGCTGGGGGTTCCACTGGCGTCCGTGCTCCCGCTCTGCGCCGGGGAAGACGAGGAGGAAGGTTTGGTGGAGGGGGAAGATGCCGCCTCTGTTTTGGTGGTGGTGGTGTTACTGGTGGCGGAAGTAGGGGTAGCTGTGGCAGTGGGGTTAGCTGTGGCAGTGGGACCACTGGTTGTGGTGATTGTTTTCTTGTAGCTCAAGCTGCTGCTGTTAGTATCTTTGCTGCTGTTGGGTTTCTTGTCCATGGTGCTTTTAATATCAGCGGTGACTTGACTCTCACTGAAAATTGTACCAATAGTACTGCTGTTGCTGCTGTTGTTGCACCTGCTGTCCGTGCTGCTGCTTTTAACCATGCTGATAGCATTGCTGTTGCTTTTCCCACTGAGATTAGCAATAGCATGGTTGATTTTACCATTGGCGTTGATGACTTTGCCATTGCTGTAAATGCTGTTCCCCCTGTTGTTGCCAAAGCTAAGGTTAATAACACTAGCATGGCTGCTGAAACTACTGCTATTGTAACTACTACGGCTACTGCTGATGGTACTACTAGTACTCCCTCCACCATTACTACTACTGATACTACTAGTACTCCCTCTACTATTACTAGTACTACTGATACTACTAGTACTCCCTCCACCATTTCTACTATTACTACTGATACTACTAGTACTCCCTCCACTATTACTACTACGGCTACTGATGATGATGTTGTTTCCAATACTACTGCTCCCCACCACCATGCTGATCCCCTTATCGACCACCAGGGCACCAGCAGGCCGGGCCTGCATCATAGGGCGGGCCGCAGCCTGGTGCTTGGGTGTGACCGCCAGGGCCATGGGGGCACTGCTGACCTGGATGCTGTTGGCCATCATGGGCTGGGTGACAATCACCCCTCCCTGACCCACCAGCGAGCCCTGGAGGATGTGAGGGATCCCCGTAGGCCCCAGAGAGGCAGGCAGGACCCTGATGGTGTGCTGGGCTGGGCTGTGGTGGGTCTGGGTCAATGGCTGGTACTGGGTGTTAGGGGGCGCTGTCTGTATGATGGTGTTGAACATCTTCTTCCTGGCCTCCTCTATCTCCTCTGGAGACCAGCTGATGCCCTGCTTGAGTCTCTGGGCAGTGAACCAGATGTTGATCTGCTCCTCTGGGAACTTGGTGACCACGGTGAGGTAGCAGAGCTCTGCCTTGGTGGGATAGGGGAACTTACTGAAGGACGTCTTGAGGAAGGAGGAACAGTCCATAGAGGCGCTGTAGGTTGGGATGCTGCTCAGAGGGATCATCACCTGCACCACAGAAGGTAGAAAATATATATTTCATGTAGTACCAACATGTAATTTGTACCAACAATCGGAATTACATTGAATTTACACTACTTCATGTAACTATTTCATATAAACTAGGAGAAGATTTACACTGACAGCTCAAAAGGCACTGAAACCCATGTATTTCCATGATAAATGTAAATACACATTTTACATTTACATTTTAGTCATTTAGCAGACGCTCATATCCAGAGCGACTTACAGGAGCAATTAGGGTTAAGTGCCTTGCTTAAGGGCACATCGACAGATTTTTCACCTAGTCGGCTCGGGGATTAGAACCAGCGACCTTTCAGTTACTGGCACAACGCTCTTACCCACTAAGCTACCTGCCGCCCATACACGTTAGTACCATGTAATAATGTGTACATACACTGTAATTACACTTGAACTGTATATCACATCTTCATAAAGTGGTACTGACACAATATGATCAAAATGGGGAATTGACACCAGTCAATCTCCAGACACAAATTGGTACGTTAAGAGCCGCAGGGCTCCTGGTAAAATGACAGGAAATAAATCAATGTTTGTACCTTGGGCATGTTCTTGGAGGAGGTGGAAGAGGAGGAGGTGGAGGAGGAGGAGAGGGCAGCGGAGACTGTGATGGGAGCTGTCTGATGGTAGATGTTCCTGTTCTGGACCACTGACACCACCTGGTTCAGAGCATAGAAAAACGAACGTTAATGTCCACAGTCGGTGATATAAACTGCATTCAACTCAGAGGAAACTTGTACACATTCCGGCAATGTAATTCAATTAAGTTCATTGAGCACCAATTGTAATTTGCAGTAATGTCAGCAAAGATCAAATGCACTAAGTACCTGTGTGATGGCAGTCTTGAGCATGGGCAGAGCCCCCGAGCCGTTCACTATCTGGATAGCAGAGGGCAGCGTGACCTTGGTGGTTGTGCCGTTGTGCACTATGGTAGGGACGTGGGTAACTGTCACTGTGGGGGCCTCTTTTCTCGGCATCTCCTTGGACTTAGAGATGGGGAGGGGGTCTGGGGAGGGTTCATCAGGAGAGGAATGGGACACCACAAACCTCTTGGACTCCGACTTCCCTTTCATCATCCTCATGATGGGGGTCTTGGTGATGGTGATCTCTGTGTCCCTCCCTGTCTCTGACCCTGTCACCAGACTCTGCTCCACCACCACCCTCCTGTCTCTCCTCCTCAGCTGCAAGGTGGTGCACACTGTGCTGGGGTGGACCTGGGCGTTGTGCAGGGCCAGGCCTTCAAACTTGGCCGCTGACACCCCACAGTCCACGCACTGGAAGCTGGGGTCAGCTCTGAAGTCCGGGTGGCCACTGTAGACGTGGTCCAGGAACAGGTTTAGGTCCTGGGTCTCAAAGTTACACGGCCTGCACGTGTAGGTGCCGCACCCGTCTTTGACATCATTGCCCCCCTCAGGCCTGGAGGATTCGCCTGGGGATCGCTCCCGGGGGCTCAGCCCGTTACCGCTAGCGCCCATGGAGGGGTAGCCCTGGTCCCGGGCCTGTCGGAGGAGGGAGAGAGGGTCTGACAGGCACGAGTCCTGCTCCAGCTCCTCCCGGAGGTGCATGGACTTATGGGGGATCATACAGGGTATAGTGGATTTCCTCTTGCTGGCCATGGTTGGCGCGGATGGTGGGGGGGGGGGGGGGGGGGGTTGTGGGAGCCGGCCGAGGAGTACAGCGGTCAGTTTATGGTTCAGTTGGGATCCTGATTATGGACCAGCCATTGGGAGGGGAACGTGGGGGAACATGACCACACGTCTCAGTGTGTGTGCACTGAAAAAAAGATGGAGAGAGAAAAAATACAATTAAGCTTCAAGTCATCATTATTAAACTATACTATATACATTCTGTAAGAGATCAAGTGGGGGGGATGTTATGCCGAGTACCAGAAGCATATTATACTGCGTAATGAAATTCATTTGATACTGACCAAGGAAAGGCCAACATGCTCTGATATGAAATATGTGGTTGAAAGATGTCAGATGTCTTGAATTGTGGTACAATGATCTATCATTTTCAGTGTTGTTTGTTTGTCAATAAATACAGTCTGCTCCTTTAAAAAAAACTCAACTCACAAGCCAAGTAACTCAAAGCTGTGTTTTTATGGCCAATATTGAGTCTTTCTCTCTGCTCCCCTGCTAGTCTCTCACTCTTCTGTAAAGAAGGTTTTTTAGAGAGCTCCTATCCCATGCCACCCCCACTCTCCTCTCCTCTAACTTCCCCTGCTTCATACACAGTACACCCTCAGAGGGAACACAATGCACTCTGGACAGACGCAGCACAGCGCATGACAGATCCACACTCATAGGCTAGCCAAACAATTCCCACCACCAAAGAAAACATTTGTGAATATCTTCAGATCTGTAGCAGGACATTCACTCCACAGGATTTTGGGAGCCTTCATTTGGGAAAGGTGGCATTCGTATTAGGTGTGCGGATGGCACACACACTCACGGACAGACAGACTCAATCTCTCTACAATATCCAAACTTTGCCTATGTTATAACCAACCCCCCCCCCCCCCCCCCAACAACAACAAAATGGCGTAGCTTCCTACTTACAGTCATGCGTGCATAAATTTGTGTATGGGTGGTCCCGGGGATCGAACCCACTACCTTGGCGTTACAAGCGCCGTGCTCTACCAGCTGAGCTACAGAGGACCGTTTCCCTTCCTGTGAGACTTTTCCGCCTGCTCCCATCCTTCCCCTCACTTTCTCGAGGCATTGGTGCAATACTGGAGGACAGCTCTAGGGCAATTACTCTCAATGGCACCACACACACCCACTACTACAGTCCTTCAACCCAAAGCCTCCTCCATGAACACAATGAATCCCCCTACCTTATACGGAGCTTACACACCTCTGTCTCATGGCAGACATGTCCACTGTGCAATATAGGTCAGTGCCATCTTAGTGCTATCTAATCCTAGTTCTCTGCATCCAAACACAAACAAATCAACAACAAAAAATGTCACATACACGTGTTTAGCAGATGTTATTGCGGGTGTAGCGAAATGCTTGTGCTTCTAGCTCCGACAGTGCAGTAATATCTAACAAGTAATATCTAACAATTTCACAACATATACCTAATACACACAAATCTAGTAAGGAATGGAATTTAAGAATATATACATATATGGACAAGCAATGACAGAGTGGCATAAACTAAGATACAGTAGAATATTATAGAATAGAATACACACACACACTGCTGAGCAGAAACCATAGTAAGATGAAGTCGGCCCTACACACTGGTCTAAGGCCTGTCGTTTCCCTTCTGATGGCCCGAAGAGCAACTTGTTATTTTCTAGTCCCAACTGACTGGACCCAAACTGCCTACCAAAGTTCCAGAGAGCCTCTGAGCTATTGGTCTAAATGGTCTAAGGGTGTTGTGTTTCAAATCTCTTAAAGGTGCAGTCGCTTTTGGAGGACTGGGGTGGCGGATGTTTTGCGAAGAGGACATGGTGTTTAAATGGAGTTATGGAGAAAAAGCTTGACCAAACTAACCAATCAGCGCTTCTGTATCGATTATACCAATGGGGGAGTGTTGTTCAATAAAGAGAGTGAGTCATGTGTTAACAATACACAATCACTGGAGACGATATTGCGAATGGCAATCTGAAAACAATGTTTCATATTTTGTTGCTACTGTGAGTCTTCTATATACGCTGCAAGCCAATGACCCTTCCGTAACATATTCGCCAACAGAAATATCTTAAAGATTCATCAGAAACCTTTTATTTTTAATGCCTCACTGTGTAGGCCTCAAACTTTGCTGTGTTAAAAGTAAAATTGCTAGTCTGATTGAAAATACTTTCTGGTCTTCTCCAAAGCATAATACCTTTCCTCTACACTGGTGTCTGGTATACGAGTGGTTAACAGGCGGAGCAGGCCTTTGCCACTGTGGGGGGAACGCGATTCCTCCCAACCCCTCCCAGAGGGAGTAACTGCCCTCCGTTTGGGCTATTCTGCCCCCCTCTCTCTCTCCAACCCGCCACCCCCTCTCTCCTGCCCCCTGCCATTCAGTTCTGCATCAGGGGGCACAGCTCTGCCAAGGCGGCCAAGTCACATGACCAACACAAAGGCTTATGGGTGGACAGGCCCTGCCATCCATCACATGGGCCTGATGGGGAGAGCGGGGGTGGGCAGGAGGGTTGGGGTGAGAGAGGGAGGGAAGGGTGTTAACGGTCTCGGAGGAAGCAGTTAGGTGTTTCAGGCAGGAATTTTCTGCCACAATACCCCCCATCCACCCAACCCCCGCTCTCTCACTCCCTCTGCGCACTACAATCACATCAAGTCGTTTCTCCTCCCCCTCCTCCCTGGTCGACTGCGAAGTCTGGAATGTTCCGCCGCAAGCTCTTCAGCCAGTGGACACAACCTGAGAGCTGAGTTGCAGTGTGTGTGTCTGCACATGTGTTTTTCTGAATGTGCATGTGTGTGCGCGCCTTTGTGTTGAGTACCACACGCCTTTGTGTTGAGTACCACTCGCCAGCCTCCCTGGCTGGCTACAATGAGCAGTTAAAAGACAAGATCACAAACTGTGTGTGAACCCCCCATTAACACCTCGGAGCACCACCGTTAAGTTAACCACTGACTGACCACTGTGGGTTCACACAACACACCTGGGAGGACAGCTCATTCTCCAGGTGGACTTTTGTTGAGCAGCGTTTACATTACAGTATCTTCGAGAGGAACATTTCACAGAGATTACCTGAACAAAGAATCTGTTTCACAGGAATAGAGTAGATACATTTATCAGTGCAACACTGGTTAACCTCTCCATCTCAGCCTTGCAGATCTCAGACAAGCCCTGTTGACTTAATATGGGAGATCCACTGAAAACTAAAATATGGGTCAGAAATGTTTTTCCATGAGCACAGCGAGACTGACCATAAAGCTTGATTGTGTGTGTCAGTGTGGATGCGCATCAGTGTGCCTGTGTGTGAGCACGCGGGGTATGTGTGAGCTCAGGGGAGTGTGTGTGAGCATGCGGGAGTGTGTGTGTGTGAGCACAGGGGAGTGTGTGTGTGTGTGTGTGTGAGCACGGGGGAGTGTGTGTGTGTGAGCACGGGGGAGTGTGTGTGTGTGTGTGAGCACGGGGGAGTGTGTGCGTGAGCACGGGGGAGTGTGTGCGAGGTTTGACTGTGTGTGTGGTTGTCTGCATGCCTGTGAGTGAGGCTTGTTTACCGAAGCAGTAGGGCGGCCATTTTCCGACACGACACAGGCGGACACCACTTGCTGTGACCCACAGACAGAATGTGGTTGTTGTCCCAACACTCAAATAATCTGTCAGGGGTAGCGCTCTCGAACGGACATGCACACACGTCGCTCTATCATACCCTGGTCTTGCTTCTATACTCTCAGTGTATAGGCCAATAATAGCCCCCGTACACTAGAGACCAACCCTCCAAATAGTCTAGGGGCGTAGCCGACCGCGTACATACGTCATCCCAGCCAGCATTACATCACTGACTATGGCTTCTGTCCCTTATATCTGCTGCCTGCCTGTCTGTCCATGTGAGTGTCCATCTGTCTGTCCTCTCCGTGTGTGAGAGAAAGAGTGTCCCATATCCCCTAACCTTCCCATGTTTGCTTGCCTGCTCACCCCTCCCCCTTCTCCCGCTCCCACTGTCACCTCTCTCCCTCTCTTTCTGTCCCCTCCCCTTTCTCTGCCCCACTCCCTCTCTGAATAATTTTGGCCAAGAGAGACAGGTCGGCAGTGCCACTGGTATGTTACTGTCCCCATGGCAACCCCCCCCCCCCCCCTCCCCCCCTTCATTTCACACACACGTTTGTGCATCCACCCACAAGCTCACACCTCAAATGCCATCCAGGTCCTGGCTCTAGTTGGCTTGTTTTTTCCACACACTCCTGTGAGTGGTGACTGGAGAGTCCCTGCCCTGCTCCTATTTCAGTGCCTCACTCACGCGTTGTGCATGTCTTCTAGGTGTGGTCGCCCTCGCCAGCACACGCTATTGGCTGGGGCGAATGGCGTCCTTTCCTTTCCTGCTCTCACACACTCTCTGTACAGACAGATGCCTGGGTCACTTCCCACCATTACTGAGAGACAAGCTGGGAGCACTGAGGCCAGTTTTATTTTATTGTTTCCCTATGCCCTTCTGCCCCTTTAAAATATCCATACTCCCACTGTACTACCCCTACAGTTACCCTTCTACATCCCTCCTCACCTCCCTCTAAACCAGGAGTATGTGGTAGTAATCCCTCCTTCCATCGCCGCCTCCTCCTCCTTTTCCTCCTCTGGCACCACAGCAGAGGCTTGCGTATGTTTGTCTCTGAGGTTTCTCCTCATTCTGGCTGCATCATTTGTTTTTCACTTTTGGCAACAGAAACAAAACCCTAATGATACTGTCTCTACATTGTCACAGTTCAGCTGCTGCTGAATCCCAATTGGGCTGTTTTCAAGTCAGGGAGCGCAAACGGCTGCAAAAAGGTTGCGAAAGCCTGCGTTGCTGTGGCCACTGGCAGTGCAGGCTTTAAAGCTGGATTGTTAGGAGGGCAGGGAGAGAAAAATGGCGGAGCACGACCATGCTCTGTGCTGGCCAACCTAAAATGGCTGACATCACAGGCTGTTAGCCAGCCAGTGCTCTGCCGGTTACTGTTGACCTAAACCTGCTGGCTCTGGACACAGGGACACACACTCTCCTCCTCTCCTCTCTTCCAATCCTCTCCTCCTATAGAAAAAGGGGTATTACAGCAGACAGCCTTAGTGGGGTTTTGTGGAGAATAAGAGTTGAACAGTGGGTAAACATGAACGCAGGCCAACACAGAAAATAGTCCAAATTTAAGTTGAAAAATGAGGATGGGCAAGAAAAATGTAAACTGCTACCCTTGCCAGACATGGTGATGAAGTGCCAACAAATAGTTGTATATGTTTATTTATAAACAAATAAGGGTTTGTTCAAACGTGCATCCATCAGCTAAATTATTCTGTATAGCCTACATCTCACAACAACGATGCCAATGGGGACACTTTTCAGATCAGATGATAACAGAGTCAATTAGGATCATTCTAATGCAGCCTATACTATATTGAATTACTGTCCATATACAATCAAGCCTTTGTGCCAACACCAGGCCTGGTAGACTGTGCCACAGAGAGAGAAAGGGAGTGTGTGTGTGTGCGTGATCAGGGAGACAGGCACACCACCATGACCTCAGGCAACCCATTCAACACAAAATACAGTTATGGACTAAATGCACATGCACCAACAAACAAACCATGAATAAATAATTTTATGAATCACATCTGAAACACTGTGAGACAACCAGACCCCAGACGTTACACCACCCAAATCATAAATGACTCGTCTACCTTTTCCTCCCCAACAATGGTATAGCAATTGGCTTATATCAGGGGTGACAACTGTGACATGGCTGATGAATAGATAGCTGGATTAGAGTTGGGGCTCTATGGCTGTTTTATCATGTGGACATCAGACACAAATTAGCCTTTTGGGAACAGCTTTGAACTAATCTCTATCATGCACAGAGAGCATGGCAATGTTGACATGTGGTGGGAGTAACCTAGGCAGCGACTGCTGCATGCATACATACATACATATAGCCTAGGGCCTAGGCTATCAGGCATATACAGTGCATTAGCCGAGATATGAATGTAAATATGAAGAGACAGAATAGTGAAAACTATATTCTGAGAACATCATATCATTCAAATACATTTGATAACTAAGCAGGCAATTTCTGTTATAGCTGGAATGAAAAAAATAATAGGCTATTTAGTCTTATTCTCCAATAATTTTAGATTATTGTGATCATTTACAAATTGCATGACAGCGTACTAAACTGCCATGGTCAAACGATTTTATGACATCTAGTTATCTTAAAGTTAAACTTTCATAGCCCATCTTCCTCAAAATCGTGCAACGAGGATGCAATATGATGGACTGATTAAAATAAAATCATATTCTACATAACCCATAACGCCTACAGTGCGTCAACGTAAAGCAAAATAAAGTTGTTATGATGACTAACTACATTAGTTAACTGATAAAACTGTGATCAATTAAAATAGGGAGAGTGATTTTAAGAGGAAAGCCTGCAAGTTACATCCCGTCAATGAGACGGTCATGAAAATTAATTGATACTTTGTAACAAAACTGGCGAGTGTTGTTCTTCCGCTCAATTGCGGAGTGAGCGATAAATTAATAGGCTGGCTACATACATCTTTGTAATATTGTAACCAATTCAGAACAGGGGAAGAGACAAGCCTCCAAAAACTACTCGCCCCTTGCTGTCGCCATTTTATGCGAGCGACATGCAGCTGGCTAACATTAGCACCATAAAGGTAACGCTCGCACAACTTTGCAAAGGTAAAAACTCATTTTAAAGAATAAATTCACAAAAACCTTACTCACCTTATTTGATCCAGGTGGAGCTCAGATTGTGGGGCAAAAGTCAACAATAAACCTAAGCATATGTAACAAAATAAATAATGTGAGATTTGGGGCTTTGTTGATGCCAACTTAGGTAGGGTGGTACCCCTCTCTCTCTCTCCCTCCCTCGAATGGTGATAAACGTGATACTGGCCACTTGGGCTAGTGACACAATGGCCCCCGTCGCTCTTGTTTATCTCGAATGGCTCTCACCGCTTCTGGAGGCGTGTGGAGAAGAAATACGACGCACGTAGTCAGCAATAGAGACAGGCACGTGGTACAAAACGTCATTACCGACCTCATATCGTCTTGAGCTTAGAGAGAGAGAAGTTTCATAATAAAGAAAAGTGAACTTCTCCCTTCAATAACAATTTGGTAAAATTATGAAAATGTCTCCTGTTATAGGACTTCCTGCCAATTAGTATAGGCTACTCTATACCTCTGTGCCACAGGAGGTTGGTGGCACCTTAATTAGGGAAGATGTGCTCGTGGTAATGAATGGAGCAGAATAGGTGGAATGGTATCAAATACATCAAACACATGGTTTGATGCCATTCCATTTGCTCCGTTCCAGACATTATTCTGAGCCGTCCTCCCCTCAGCAGCCTCCACTGCAGTACTGAGTTTGGCCTAATGTGTTTTCATACCCTAGGTTTTTAGCCTAGGTTACTTTTCTGTTATTATTTGTCATTTACATTTTAGTCATTTGGCAGACGCTCTTATCCAGAGCGACTTACAGTTAGTGAGTGCATAATTTTTTTTTTTTTCATACAGTGCTTCATGGGGTGTGAATGCGAAACAGCTCTGATCATGCCGCCACAGCCTCATGGTTATCGGACATATCAGACAATATTTCCAGTTGCATGTGAACTCATGCACACATCACTTTCAATGTGGTGGATGGGCCAGAAAATCTGTAGCACAGTAAGGTCCAGATGATCAAATGCTGGAACAGGCCTACCTTTAATGGCTGATTGTTTTTACAAGGATGTATTTAAGCCTTACTTTACTCTATCAAGATTCTGCAAATGAAAAGCACACAATCTCAGATTCTCTAGTGAATTGATTGAGACCGTTCATCTATGTTGTTCTTGTAATGAAGCCTTCAAGGCTTACACTCAACCTTGGAGGCTATGACATTTACAATCTGCCTCCTTCCTGGTCTTGACCTTTATGCACAGGTGGTACAGTGCTGTGTAGTGTTGTGCAGGTGGTTCACAGGTGGTACAGTGCTGTGTAGTGTTGTGCAGGTGGTTCACAGGTGGTACAGTGTTGTGCAGGTGGTGTAGTGGAGTAACACGTTACCTTAGACTTGCAGGACTCGTGTCTGCTCCCAGAGCCTGATGGTGGCCTAACACAGTCTGAGTTTCTAGTTCCACATAATGCACAGGTTATATACTAGGTCGTTACACTGGCATTGTGATCCTAATCTCACAGTTGATGTCTATCAGCTGCTGGGGTTCATGCAAAGAGATGGAGGACAGGAGGTTACTCATGGTAGCTCCTCTGACCAAGCTTAATAACTGTAAGTCGCTCTGGATAAGAGTGTCTGCTAAATGACTAAAATTTAAAATGTAAAATGTTAATATCTAGGGTTAAGCTCAATGGGATAACACAGGCTCAAGTCCCTCAAACATCCCAAGTTTGATACCAAATGGGTCACACTAGTTGCCTTCTAACGGTTGGTTGCTCCCCACTACATCGGTGGGGGTTGTAGTGGTATGTCTGCAGTCTATGTAGCAGTTTCCCTTGTGGGTTGGATGCAGACCTGTCTAGGGTATGTGTAGCTGCCTATATATAAACTCTGTCTTTTGCTACGAGGTCTGGACCTTTATGGCAAATATGTGTTTGCCCTGAGTCAGTGGTTTAACTTCAGGCATAGTCTTGTAAACCGACCCTAGGCAAGCCAGAACTTTTGAAAATTGTGGGAGACAACCCTGATGTCTAGAGAGACTACTTCAAGCATTTTTATCCATAAATTTCTACAATTGTGATACATTGTGAGTTGCATGTAAGCTTGAGCCTCCAGTATCTATTCCAAAGACTTCCACATTGAAGAAAGGACACCATCCATCCCATAATCTACAATAGCCATACTCAAGGACACTGAAAATACTGCTCTGCATCTATGATTAGAACACAGCTCTATCATTTGAAAGGCCAGAGCAGGCGTACAACAAAAAAGAAAGAAGCATAACTCCACCTCCAGAGGGCGCTGTATTTTATTTTTGTGTGAAACTTGTCGGGCGGGTGAACGTCGCATTTTCTTATTGGCTGTTCCGACAGGCTAATTTCGGGTCAAGTCCTTCCTGCGCATGAAGTCTGTTGGGTCAGCAGTGCTGTGGTTCCTTAAGCCCTTTCTAAACGTTTGACACTAATAATCGATTGAAATATACGACGGGAACCGTATAACGATAACATTATTGTAAGGTTTGTTGCACGTGGATTTTATTTAACGTCTGCAGAACACGGGGGTAACAGCAGAGAATGACGAACGGTTCAAAGAGGAAAGAAGAAGTTCATCTCGCCAATGGGGGTGTAAAGCAGTCCACATGGAGCAAAGTCTTAAACAGTACCGCTGTATGGGAAGATAAGGTTGGTTTAGCTCATCTGATTATAACTATATGGTTGTTTTTAATGTATATTTTGAACAAAGCTGGATATTTAGCGTTTTCATATTGGGCCCTCCTCGCTTGATTAGCCAGACAGCTAACTTTAACCAGCATGCTAACGGAGCTAGCCACTTGCTGGCTGTCACCAGGAATCAGGATCGGGTAACGTCGGGGTTAGCTAACATTAGCTATATTAGGCTGGGGGATCTGATTGCTCCGTCTCAAGTGCCAACGATAGTTGTGACTCCTATGATTTTGTATTTTCCCAAGTGTCTCAGTCAGTGTCGACACGACTTAACTAGCTACATTGACATTGTCAAGATACGGCCCGGAAGTTGTAGTGGCCTTTGTTACAGTCAAGATTAACGCAAATAATGTATCTCAGTTGGTAGAGCATGGCGCTTGCAACGCCAAGGTTGTGGGTTCGTTTCCCACGGGGGGCCAGTATAAAAATGTATGCACTCACTAACTGTAAGTCGCTCTGGATAAGAGCGTCTGCTAAATGACTCAAATGTAAATACTAATTTGTCAGACCCACTGGTCTTTGAGTAGCCATTAGCTTCACCCCTACTCAGTGACTTCTTCCTCGAGATTAATCAAACTTTCGCTTGGTTGTCGGCACTTAGCACAGCAGCTCTCAAACGTACCACTGTTTACACTACAGTCGTACATGGATTTGTGTAGATTTCTGGCTACTGTCTGCAGGGGAAACTTGCCAGTGGATGAATATAGGATACTGTATCAATATGACTGTATGGCATTACTTGCTCCTCTTTGAAACAACTTATGTGTATCCTTTTCTTCTGCTTACTCTCCAGGATGAGTTTTTAGATGTGATCTACTGGATTCGACAGATCATCGCTCTCATCCTTGGAGTGATATGGGGCGTTGCACCACTAAAAGGCTTCCTAGGAATAGCCATGTAAGTATCTAAACGCCGGCTCTCCTTTTGCACTCATTGTGGGCCTGCAGGGCACTGGTTCAATGCATCTCTCTCCACGATACATCCCCTTAAAACAACAACCTCTTGCAGTGTTAATCACTTCTTCTACAACTATATTTATTTTACAACAGTAACATCTTTGTGTATAGCATCCCTCTCCCTTGTTCCCTTCCTGGTTGTTCCCAAACAACAACAACTGTGCCTTAACTTCAATAACAACAATGACTCCATCTCTGTCTAACTACCCTCTCGTCCTCCAGATTCTGTGTCATCAACGCGGGGGTCCTGTATGTGTACTTCAGCAGCTTTCAGCAGGTGGACGAGGAGGAATATGGAGGAACGTGGGAACTCACCAAAGAAGGCTTCATGACATCCTTTGCATTATTCCTGGTACGCACACAATCATTTGTTGAACCTCTGAGGAAGTAATTGTCCAGGCAGTATTTATTTTGTGGTCAGTGGTCACTATCCCTGGTCATGGAGAGTTTCTGCATGCTTTTGTTCCAGGTGGGCAGTAGCACTAACACATCTGATTGATGACTAAAAATGTAAATGTGAAAATATACATTCTTTGAGCGTTTTTGCATGGATTCGGTACCCTGATATGGTTCTGAGAATTAAACAAAAACACTGTTTTCACAAGAACTGAAAATAGCCAAAAGTCTCTCAATCTGCATCTGAATCAGTTTCTGATACTGTATGTGAAAATGTCCTTTATCCATGGCTAACCCTCTCTCCTTCCAGGTGGTGTGGATAATATTTTACACAGCACTTCATCATGACTGAAGACCTGAGGGGAATCCAATCCATTGGAGACAAATATGAACATTTCAGTTGAAGTTAAAATGTCAAGACATGAAGTGTTTAGAAATCGTGTTTTTAAGACAACTCGGAACCTCTGAGTTAAAATGTACATACGTTTTTTTTGCGTAGAGCTTCCTATTGGTTGATTCTGATATTTTCCAAGTGGGAAACTGAGCTCATTTTTCTGCAATGAGTTTCCAAGTTGTTTTGAAAGCGGCAAAACTCCACGATTTCAGGTGTGTCATCATCCACACCCAGGACCCGTCTGTATGCAGTGCATCGTGGGAACCATAGTTTGATATGAATGACCTTGTAAGACCATCAGGTTACCGTTAAGTTATGGCTCTGTTCGAATACTTTTATTGGTGCATCTCAATAGTTTAACATAGCTTGCTCTCTTCATCTCCTTTCCTTTATCTGAACTGACCTGTAAACACAGCACTGGTGAGGGAATGTGGAGGATGCCATTCTGACATTTCCTCTCACCTGTCCAGTTATTTCATATCAATGCAGATAAAGTAAAGGAGACAGGGAAAATATTTTTTTTTTTTTTTATACTATTGAGATGCAACCTTTCAATCCATCTTTATTTCCCCCTTAACTTTCTAGAGTTGATCACCTGATATGACAGAAATGGGTTGGTGAAAGCAAGTGCTCAGCCAGATCGTTTCAGCCTACCCATCCCATAGAGAATGATAGAGGCCTCTAGTGGCCAAACGGCTGTATTTTCACCATTTTAATGTAGTCAATTGGGTGGGACTTTTAACTTCATTGGCTGATCCCTCTTGGTGACTCTGTTGGAGTCATGTCCAACCGGGTCATCAGAAGGGATCAGCCAATTGTAAAGAAGAAATGACTACTTAAAAATGGAGATGGCCTCAATGGCGCTGCCCATGCTGTCACAGACACAAAATGAGTCCTCTGTCTATCTCTATGACCGACCCAGCCTAGATCAGTGTAATCTTCATGGAGAGATGGAAGGAAACCTGCATCTCTGAAGTGTTGGAACTGTCCAACCTTTAAGCTGAAACTGTTCTACAGACATAATGTGTTATTGTTTTTCTTTTTCCTTTCACTCAGTAATGGCAGTAATTGTATCTAGCAGTCAGAATTGGTTTTAATTAAACTTTTTTTGTGTTTGTTTTCCCTCACACATAGTTCCCAGATCAAATAGTCTTACCTAATGTTCTGAGATTATTAATTTAAAACGTCTGTAAAAATGTTCCCTTTTCTCAAAATCCGCATTGTATTAAACTGATTTATTTGTATTACTTTGTTATATCTTGATGTAACATATGTTTCAGTATTTTATAGTTAATTAATTTTTTGTGCAAGATGGCTGTAATGACACTACTGTACCAGGTACATGGTTGGTTTCTGAGAGTATTGTATTTTCTGATTTGGGAATAACATTAAACATGGGCTTTGTTTATCATCCAATTTCAAAGAGATGCTGTGTCACTGTGATTTAGTATTTGTTAAGCGCATGTCAACTCTTTCGCTGAGTAAAATCCTCCGCATTCACACGGGTACAGTTCTTTAGACATTAAATATTGAATATGAATGGTACAGGTGACCGAGGTGTGTGCACATCCTTGTCTCTCCAGCTAGTGAGTACATATTGCACGCATACATGCTGTCAGCAGCATATTAAAAATAGCATGAAGAAAATATTGGGAGACTAAATTGCAAGTCCTCGCCTCCTTCTCAAAACCCATTGGAGGAGAAGGTCAGAGGGGTGGGACCAATGGGTTTTGAAAAGGAGGCGAGGAGAGAGGATGTGAGGAGTATTAAATTGAGATTAGCCCATTGTATTATTAGTATAGTATTTTATATACATCCATACTCTTAACCAATGAATTACAGTGCCTTCAGAAAGTATTCACACCCCTTGACTTTTTCCACATTTTGATGTGTTACAGCCTGAATTTAAAATGGATTAAATTTAGATTTTGTGTCACTGGCCTACACACAATACTCCATAATGTTAAAGTGAAATTAGGTTTGTAGAAATGTTAAACATTAATAAAAAATGAAAAGCTGAAATGTCCTGAGTAAATAAGTATTCAACCCCTTTGTTATGGCAAGCCTAAATAAGTTCAGGAGTAAAAATGTGCTTAACAAGTCACATTAGTCGCATGGACTCACTCTATGTGCAATAATAGTGTTTAACATTATTATTGAATGACTACCTCATCTCTGTACCCCACACATACAATAATATGTAAGGTCCCACAGTCGAGCAGTGAATTTCAACCACAAAGACCAGGGAGGCTTTCCAATGCCTCGCAAAGAAGGGCACCTATTGGTAGACAGGAAGAAAAAAAATACAGACATTGAATATCCCTTTGAGCAAGGTGAAGTTATTAATTACACTTTGGATGGTGTATCACACCATATCGAACCGTCAATACAGGACTAAGATTGAATCCTACTACACCAGCTCTGACGCTCGTCGGATGTGGCAGTCCTTGCAAACTATTACAGACTACAAAGGGAAACCCAGCCTCGAGCTGCCCAGTGACGCGAACCTACCAGACGGGCTAAATGCATGTTATGCTCTCTTCGAGGCAAGTAACACTGAAGCATGCATGAGAGCACCAGCTGTTCCGGACGACTGTGTGATCATGCTCTCCGTAGCCGATGTGAGCAAGACCTTTAAACAGGTCAACATTCACAAGGCCGTGGGGCCAGATGGATTACCAGGACGTGTACTCAGAGCATGCGCGGACCAACTGGCAAGTGTCTTCACTGACATTTTCAACCTCTCCATGACCGAGTCTGTAATACCTACATGTTTCAAGCAGACCACCATAGTCTCTGTGCCCAAGAAAGCGAAGGTAACCTGCCTAAATGACTACCGCCCCGTAGCACTCACCTCGGTAGCCATGAAGTCATGGCTGTTCATGGCTCACATCAACACCATCATCCCGGAAACCCTAGACCCACTCCAATTCGCATACAGCCCCAACAGATCCACAGATGACGCAATCTCAATCGTACTCCACACTGCCCTTTCCCAGCTGGACAAAAGGAACACATATGTGAGAATGCTGTTCATTGACTACAGCTCAGCGTTCAACACCATAGTGCCCATAAAGCTCATCACTAAGCTAAGGACCCTGGGACTAAACACCTCCCTCTGCAACTGGATCCTGAACTTCCTGATGGGCCGCCCCCAGGTGGTAAGGGTAGGCAACAACACATCTGCCACGCTGATCCTCAACACGGGGGCCCCTCAGTGGTGCGTACTTTGTTCCCTCCTGTACTCCCTGTTCACCCACGACTGCGTGGCCAAGCACGACTGCAATACCATCATTAAGTTTGCTGACGACACAACGGAGGTAGGCCTGATCACAGACAACGATGAGACAGCCTATAGGGAGGAGGTCAGAGACCTGGCAGTGTGGTGCCAGGACCACAACCTCTCCCTCAACGTGAGCAAGACAAAGGAGATGATCGTGGACTACAGGAAAAGGAGGGCCGTACACGCCCCCATTCACATCGACGGGGCTGTAATGTAGCGGGTCGAGAGTTTCAAGTTCCTTGGTGTCCATATCACCAACGAACTATCATGGTCCAAACACACCAAGACAGTCATGAAGAGGGCACGACAACACCTTTTCCCCCTCAGGAGACTGAAAAGATTTGGCATGGGTCCTCAGATCCTCAAACAGTTATACAGCTGCACCATTGAGAGCATCCTGACCGGTTGCATCATCGCCTGGTATGGCAACTACTTGGCATCCGACCGTAAGGCGCTACAGAGGGTAGTGCGTACGGCCCAGTACATCAGTGGGGCCAAGCTTCCTGCCATCCAGGACCTATATACTAGACTGTGTCAGAGGAAGGCCCAAAAAATTGTCAAAGACTCCAGTCACCCAAGTCATAGACTCTTCTCTCAGCTACCAAATGGCAAGCGGTACCGGAGCTCCAAGTCTAGTTACAAAAGGATCCTTAACAGCTTCTACCCCCAAGCCATAAGACTGCTGAACAATTGATCAAATGGCCACCCGGACTATTTACATTGAACCCCCCCCCCCTATCTATGCATAGTCACTTATGTACAAATTACCTCGACTAACCTGTACCCCCTCACATTGACTCTGTATCGGTATCCCCTGTATATAGCCTCATTATTGTTATTTTATGTGTTACTTTTTATTTATTTGTTTACTTTAGTTTATTTAGTAAATATTTTCTTAACTCTATTTCTTGAACTGCATTGTTGGTTAAGGGTCTACACCTGTTGTATTCGGCGCATGTGACAAATACAATTTGATTTGACTTGATTTGTCATTACAAAGAGACAGGCGTCCTTCCTAACTCAATTGCCGGAGAGGAAGGAAACCAGTCAGGGATTTCACCATGAGGCCAGTGGTGACTTTAAAACAGTTACAGAGTTTAATGGCTGTGATAGGAGAAAACAGAATGGATCAACAATATTGTAGTTACTCCACAATACTAAACTAAATGACAGAGGGAAAATAAGGAACCTTGTACAGAATACAAATATTCCAAAACATGCATCCTGTTTGCAATAAGGCACTAAAGTAAAACTGCAAGAAATGTGACAAAGAAATACATTTTTGTCCCGAATATGTTTGGGGCAAATCCAACACAACACATTACAACAGTATCACTCTGGCACTCTTCATATTTTCAAGCACGTTGGTGGCTACATCATGTTATGGGTATGCTTTTCATCGGCAAGGACTAGGGAGTAAAAAAAATAAAAAAAAAGTAACAGAATAGAGCGAAGCTCAGGCAAAATCCTAGAGGAAAAACTGGTTCAGTCTGCTTTCCAACAGACACTGGAGGCTGGTGAGGGCAGGACGGCTAATAATAATGGCTGGAATGGTGTGAATGGAATGGTATCAAACACATGGAACATGCATTTAATGTGCTTGATACCGTTCTATTGATTTCATTCCAGCCATTACTAGGAGCCCGTCCTCCCCAAGTAATGTCTCACCAGCCGCCTGTGCTTTCAGCAGGACAATAACCTTAAAACACAAGGCAAAATATACACTGCAGTTGCTTACCAAGATGACATTGAATGTTCCTGAGTGGCCTAGTTACAGTTTTCACTTAAATCGGCTTGAAAATCTATGGTAAGACTTGAAGGCCCCAGGCAGAGACCA